AAAAGCGAAAGCAGCTCAGCACAAAACTTGTGTGCCATAAAAATGCTATAAAATTTTACAAATAGGATAGATAGGATATATATATATATATATATACATAAGTATGTATGTACGTACGTAGAAATACGAGCAGCTAACAAATATCTGCAATACTAAAGTGCGGTGAGCATACACTGTAAAAAATAACAAACCTTAATGCCTGTTGAATTTAGCAATATTTATTTAAGTAATGTTCGTTATACTTATATGCTATATATTTGTCACTGGGAAATTTGAAAAGTACTCCACCGATTAAGCTTAAATTTTGAACAGATTCGTACAATTTGATCCCGGCATTATCATAATATTAGTAACAAAGCCGCGACGGTCAGAAAACGATCAACTGTGGAAAAGCAGTCGAGTCTTCTGCAGTCGCATCCACTTTCAATCGGACTATATAACTTTAATTCATCATGATCGTGGAATTTTTGCTTGAGCGCTTCGTAATTGAGATGTGCCATTCAACAAATCATACGTATTAGTATGTTTCTGGTATTACTTTCCAAAATTTTTATAACTTTCTGTCGTTTTTCTTATTTTTGACAATGAATGATAAGAGATGGGCAGAAAGAGATTCATAAAAGCTTACGGCGAAGCAATAGACCAGTAAGAGCATCTATTAAAGCATACCCGAAAAGCAAGCACTTGTCTAATAAACTAGAATTATAAATATATAGATGCAAAACCGATAAACCAAGGATGTTTTGAGAAACGAGAAGCGTCCTGAAGTATTCAATGTAAAAGAGAAGATTTTCAGTGGCGCACAATGGAATTTTTCTCTTCCTCTATATTGAAGCTAATTGAAAATTGGAAATCTTAGAAAAAATTGGAATCTCAGACCCGGTGGGGGAAGATTTTTTAGCCAGTCCGGCAAGCTATGCCCCGTCTCACAGCCGATCCTGGTCCGCAAATGGCTGACAAGAGAGGGTCTTATTAAAGGAAAAGACAGTTCAGTTGAAAAAAGGTGAAAATACTTAAAGGATGAGCATAAAACCCGAAAAGGATTGTGCGATGCATAATCAGTTGTACACCTACTAAGGAAAAAAGGAAGACAATTTCTTGTCATTCTGGAAAGAACTTAGAAATTAAGACGACCTAATAGGAAAGGAGAATCAACACTACCGGCAATCAGTTTTTGGAGAAATACAACTCCAAGGACAGTCCTCCGATTGGCTAACGAAGGAAGATTAATAAGCAGAAGTCTATATAAATATTTATATATATTATAAAATCAATAGACTGCTTTTAGTCGAACCAAGGAAAGAGGGAAGTTTGTTACTAAGTTTCAATTTAACAACATCTTTCTCATTTAAAAGATTTCGAATAAGCTTAATTATATTAAGGTTCCGGTGGTGCTAAGAACTCAGGGTTGCTTCAGGAAGGACTGCTGTTCTTCCAGTTCTCTGTTGGCTGGCATGCACGAGCATGTTTTTATAAGTAATTGCACATTTTTTGGTCATTCGCCTGATTTTCTTGCCATTGACGGCGAAAGATGTGAAGTAAATTCAAAGCAGCGCATTTTCTCTCAGTGTACTTATGTACATGTGAGCTTTTTATGCTATGCCCGGCAAGTGCTTTGAGCATTTTTACAAATGTCCGTTTCTCTAGTTTCATTGTGCCAAAGAGACGAAGGAAGGCATCCTTTGTCGTAGCTCTCTGATGTAAGTCATTGTCGTTGTCTTAAAATATTCCACTGGCAGATCGTATAGATGCTGCCAAACGTAGCTATGGAGACTCATTTGCGACAACACAGACAAGCACTCATGCATATAGAGGCTATATATATATATATATAGGAGATATGTTAGTGTGTACTATGTATGTGTGTGTGGTGCAACCTTTTTCCTTCAAGAACTTGATTTTATTTTAATTTTTGGCCCTTTTCTCACTGAACTGAGAACAGAAGCGGTCACAGAGGGTGACTGGCTAGGAGGGGAGGAGAGGGGAGAGGGCAGCTGTATGGCTTTCCAGTTGGCTGCGAGCAATCTGAACATAAAGTGAGTTATGGTTCTCCAAGGTTTTTACACCAACATTTTGTGCGACAAATTGGTCTTCAAGTTTTAACGCAATGGCGTTGTTCGAAAGTGTGTGTTGAAAGTGTGTGGCAAGTGTAAATTGCATTTAGAAGCAACTCAAGTGAAGTCAAGTGATGTGAAGTGTTACAATTCAGTAGTTGGCCGGCACGGTATGGCCGAAGGGGTGAGGTTAGAGGCTAGGGGGGGTGGTAGGCGGTAGGTGGTAGGTGGTGTTTAGTAGATGGGGCTTGTTGCAATGGCTTGTGGTTTCTGTAATAATGGTCATTAAATAAGCAGTGTTTGCTTGCATGTTTGCAACTACCACTTGGGATACATTTACAGAATTGATTATGTGTAAACTTTAATTAAAATGCCACACACTCACACACACACACACACACACACACGCTCACACACCCATGCAGTTACTCACAGTCTGCTGGTGTTGCGTCTCACATCTTATAAATTATTTATTTGCAATGAGCATAAAATTTAAATAATCAAATGCTCTGCGCCCCATTTTCATATACATACTCGTACGTCTGCATATATGTACATATGTATGTATGTATGGATGGGTATTGTGTGTTTAGCTGTGTGTGTGTGTTCAATTGACATGTAGCACACTTTTAGGCTGCCAACGATTTGCGCCATTCACTCGACTGCTGAATTGCCGTTTACATAATCGAATAGTCGAAACTATTTTGAAGTTGAAAAGGGTCGCCGTCGCATGCATAAATCAAAAAGGTAAACATTTTGCATAAATTTTCCAGCGAGAACTGCTAAGCATTTTCACCTGAGATTTTGTGGGCAATTTTCAAGTTTAAAGCGTCGCCAAAATCTAGAGCCTGCACATTCCTCATATGTGGTTTGCTTAAATTTAATTTCGTTTCGGCATTTCTCGACTGTCAAGTTGAGATAATTTTCCAATTAGTGAACAGAATGGCAGTCAATGAGAAAATACAAATGTGTTTTACTTTAACCGCTTGAGCAGACATTGGAAAATTGCCAGTACTCGGCATAGAATCGAATTGGTTTGAAGCTCATTTAATTTGCCAACTGACACACTCGTGCTTGTCTATTTTGTCGGTTTTATCAAATCTGAGGATATAAAGTAGCTGACATAAGCTCACTAATAGATTGGCTGCTAAGCTCAAGTGTGTGGCTTGGATTATTTCTTTACAGCAGCACAAATCAGTTAGTAATATTGGATTTAAACTGTGAGCCTTAAGCTTCCACTCTGAAAGTTTCCTCTAAAATTTACAACGTTGTGCAGCTTTAATTTTTTTTTTAACGCTACAAGTTGGAATAGAATTTCTTACATGAGTGAGCTTTTTACTTACAGAGTTATATATATATGCTCAACGGTTTTGAATTGACAATCTGAGACGGGGAACTTTCCAGAACTACTTTAATTTTGGCAATAATATTGACAGTTCCTCATATAATTTAGCCAATTCGGCTGTCCACAGAAAACATTTCTCCATTGGCTTTGTATTACGCTGCAAATGGTTGAGGCAGCCCCAAAAGTATTGCCTTAGTTTTAGAAAACAATTCTTAGCTGAAATAATATAACTCTCAGCATGAGAGAATCACAAAAAAAAACAAAACAACAAGAAAAACTAATCTATTTAAATTAATTTTATTAAATAAAATTAATAAAATCAAAAATATATGTATAACACTACAACTATATTATGTGGACAGAGTATTAAAGAGCTGAGCCCACTCAACAATGGTACAGCAGAAAGCGCGCCAAAATTGTTCCATTTTGTCAGACTTTTAAAAATTTTAATATTTCTGTGTTTTATTGCGAATGGTTCAACTGCTTCTGAATTTTGGAACTATCACTGTTGTTGAAGTAAAATTACAACTAAAGCAAAGCCAATTTGATGGATAGGCATATATTTAATTTAATTACTTCGATTTTCAAATGTACAATTCGTTCGTTTCTTAAATAAAGAAGGAGATGTTAGTGGGGAATTTAAAAATTATCACTAAAATTTGGAAAAATACTTTTACTACAATACTCTCTTCAATTTGATTAGCAAATTAATGAAGACTATCCAATTTCCGTATCGGTTTCTGGCTATTTCATCCATTTGCATTACTTACTAAATTTTTGACATTTTCCCACCAAGTTTTCTTACAGATTTTCCTTGCTCTGCCTAAAAAATGAGCTTATTTGGTATCATCGGATCCTCACTCAAGCAGCTCTCGAACTGAAAGTCTTATTATTACAGTAATGAGAATAAAAACGATTGCAAAACTTTTCAAAATGTTGTAGATAATAACTTGGATTTAGTTTAGTTTCTGTAAGGTCAGAGTCTGAAGAAGTGAAAATAAGTTAAAAGTTAAAGACAAAAAATATTAAATTCTATTCACTTTATCTGTGGGCTAAAGCTTTATGTAGATATGTAGATTTGTGCGGAACTAATTTTTAAAATATTGAAATTCTAAAAAAAAAATACGAAAAAAATATTTATATATAAATAAAAAAGCAATTATACAAAATGTTTTGGTATAAATAATACTAGAAGTAAAAGTAATATATTAAAAATTAAAAGAAGTTAGAGTAGTAGCTGTTATTGCATCTTAGGATTCCAGTCCAAAACATTGTAGTGCTACCTGCTGGTCGATTTACACAAAATGGGTAAGCGAAGCTACGCTTAAGGCTCTTGATTATAAAAAAGAACAACTTAAGCTGGCAAGGTAGAGAATTGCAGCACACATCCCTCTTGATCTCTGGACATCAAAAGAACTAACAAGCTCATAAAACTGAAAACGATTGAACGATTAAAGTTTCTACAACACTGGGTTCCTTACGAGCCATTATTACGATCGTAGTAGCAGCTGTATTTGAATTTAGAAAAGACTTTTATGAAACTGAAATATTTTATTGGCCGTACTAGAGTATTACAGTATTTTAAATAAAAGATGCAGTGGTAGCAGTAATAATGCTTTAATAATCAGCCACTTTTTAATCAGCCACTAATATGGACATCATTGCTCCCAACTTTATAGCATTATTTAAAAAGTATTATCCACACTATTGCTCAGATCATATTAACAAATAGCAGATTTTAATGTCCAGCACTTGCGGTTTTCAGATGTTTTGAATTTAAAATATGCATAGAATGTTTTGCAAGCATACTTCAATAAAGGCCTTGTCTTGTTACTTCCCACTTTATTCTACTAATTTACAATTCTACAGTAAGCTTCCTTCCTTCTTGGCTACGCCTCGGTGGTTTGCTCTTCGTACTGCCCATTTGGTGGCTCCTTCTGCACACGCCTCCTTCTTCCCATGGCATATGGAGGTTTCGCATGCGTCTTCACATAGAACGTGCCATTCTTGGGCACTGACGGTTCGCCGCCCATGCGAAACTCTCCCTCGTTCTCGAGCAAGATCCACACATGCTCCGATTGCCGCTCACAACGTGTGCCCCAGAAACCCTTCGAGCTGGTTATGGTCTCTGCGAAGTAATCGTGGGCGCGCTTATGGGAGCAACCATACATGTAGCACTTCTTCTGATCTTTGCCATAGTTTGGATAGAAGGTGGCGTGACCGACGGGCTCTTCAAAGCCCAAGTTCGTGCTGGTCTGTATGGACTCCACATAGTGGGCATCGCTTGCATCCAAGCGAAAATCATCTCTCTGCTCACGAAACTTGGGTCCCGCCGGGTCCAGTGCATAGATCGTATTAAAACGATAGGGATAAATCTGTTTGCCCGCGCTACCCGCGATCTGCGCCCCCAACGAGTGGCCAATCAAGTAGACGTCGTCGTAATGCAGACCCGCACGCATGTGCAAATGACGCACGAACTCGGAAAGCAAAAAACCCAGATCCTCCACCATATCTGCCACTCCGAAGTAGTTGACATTCGATGATATCATGCTCCAATCACAGACGATCACATTGAAGTCGCTGTACTCAACAGTTGGGGGGCTTTCTGTGTTGGGGGCTTCTTGTGCTGCTTCCGTGCTTCGATTCTGTGGTCTGGTTAGGCTAAGATATGCATTCTTAACGTCTCGATTGAGCGACCCCTTGCTCTGACTCATCCAGCCATGTATGATTATTCTGCAAAAGAAAAATGCAAACAACTTTCGTGAGGTAAACGATACGTCGATTTGCAGACCGCACAGCTGTTTGTTGTTAACAACAATGAATGAATCGTGCTTGTTTACTATATCTGGCTTAAGCTCTATTTTCTTCCATTGCCTACGACTTATGCTCATTATCTTATCTTTGGCTTTAATTCATTTATGCGCAATTTTTGGATCGACATTGAATCCGCACACGATTTCTTTTACTTTTGCTTGGCCAGCTTTGTTTCGGAGACTGTGAGTCATTGATGAACTGCCAATAAGATGCGAAATACATGAATAAAATTAAACTGAAACCAGTTCTCGCACAGTTCCATTCATCTTTTTGCAACTTCAAGTAAGCTGATAAAGAAATGCAAAAACAGACTTACAACTTTTAAGACCTTATGTAATGCTGGTTGTCTTTGCTCCCTCAGTTTTGTAATTACAAAATTTGTGTATATATTTATTTATTGGGCGATAACTGTATGATCTATATGAAGAAGAATGACACATGCATGCTAATATTTGCAAAATTAAAGTGGAATTTATTGAGCAAGAGGTTTCATATATTTTAGAAACAGAAATAAACTTTTTTAAGCAATGATGCTTATTAGAAATCTTTATAATTAAAAGAAAGAAAGTCACAACAAATCCTAAATATAATGGTTTAAATAACATATGTATTTACAAAAAAACGAAACAAGCGCAATAAATGAAAGGAAAAGCTGCTTACGTTTTTAAACTAAATATGATATTAGCGATTTTCCTAACATAAGGCCTAGTTTTAACTGAAGGAGAATGTAGAATAGGTACCGATCGTCAATCGCTTGGGTAATGCATAATTGATGAAACTAAATACATTTTCTCTGAGTAACCTTTTAAAGTTTCCAAGTTTGCCCCGCCCTTTTGATTTAAGCATAAAACTATATTAATTATAGTACATATTCTTAATTCCTACTTCATTGATGTAACATTAAAGTCTTTTTACTCAACAAATATATCTGGCCTGCACGACTATAACTTTAACTTCCATTTCGCATTAAAAATTTTAAGCAAAACTGGTAGAAGTTTTAATTTCTCAAAAAAACAAATAATCTATTTCAAGATGTTTTGTTCCAAAAATCTATAAAAACATAAATCTTTTAAGAAAACAACAACTAATAGTTTCGAATAAATTGTAGTTTCTCTTATTTTTTGGTATATTTTTGTAGCTTTTAAACTTAACTAGAAATTGTAAATCAGAATTGCTTCTCGCGATCTAGGCAAATAAATCTTTTTTACAATACTTCTAACTAGTTAATAGACATACTAATTCAGCTTTCACCGATTACGAATTCTCATAATACTGTTTGCATATGTAATTAGTTTTGAAAATTTCCCACTATCAACTCGCTTGCCAATGCATTTTTTGCAACACAAATAGCTCTTATCTCAAGTAATTAGCTTGGGGGTTCCAATCAAGGAAATCACAACACTCGCTTACCTAGTGGGATGACGTGCATCGAAACCGGACTGCTCCAACTTTTCATCATCGTCCGTGACCAGCTCGCGACCACAATCGGGGAAATCGCGTTTGAAGAGAAAGAATTGCATTTTCACGCGTGCACTGCCCGTAAAGGGTATCCAATGTTTGAAGAACTTCTTCCAAAAAGACACATCAAGCCCCTTGGAGCGCGTCAATGTGTGACCGCATTGATCGCGTGGAGTCTGAACTTCCTCCTCCACAGCAGGCGGCGCAGTAGAAGCAGCAGCAGCCTCCGCCCCTACAGAGTGAGATGATGTGTGAAATTATATAGTGCCGGTCAGGCATGCCTATTTGTATCTGACATACCCACAACATTGGCGCAGAGAGAAACAATAACAACTACGGCGACGACACCAACAACTCTAACGATGACCCGGGCCAGCTGTGAGCGCATACTAGATGATGATGATTTTCAGCCAAACACTCGAAACATTAAATGCGTAAGCGCGTCCGTTGCCCCAAACCTGTCTCTGTTCGAATAGAAACGCGCGTACAACTCTACAACTCTACGACTCGTATACTCGTATACGCCAATTCGAATATGGAATCCGAACCGCTCGATGGTACGTGCACAACTGACGAACGAGCTGCGATCGCAATTAGCAAAAAAGACGGCGAACCCACATCAGCTGAGCTGAGCTGAACTGTGCTGTGTGAAGCGCTGCAGATAGCGGTGTTACTGGCGCCGTTACGTCTACACTCTCTCTTTCTAGTTCTCTTGCGCTCTCACTCGCAGCGATAAAGAACGGGAAATCGCCAAATGATGCGGTGGTGGTAGCACTCAATGCAAAGGCGCTAATTGGTTAAAAGCAATTATCAAGGCAAAACGAACACTACAATTGTTGTGAATCTGCCTGTATGCAAGTGTGAGTGATGAGTGATTAATATTTAATTGTTTACTGAACGTGGTTAGTTTTAACCTTATTTTAAAACATACTAAGTACATAAAATTAATCACAACTTAAATGGTTTTTCGTTAAAGCAAAATCATGATGTTTTTGTAAAAATTTCACTTTCATGTTTACTTACACTCTCGAGATACATTTCCAATAACTTAAAAGTTGTAACCATTTTTAAAATATATTTATTTTCTAGATTTACTTTTAAATAAGGTTATTTGTACATATATAATGAACAAGTTGCATTTAAAACGTCATTGTTATTATAAACGAACAAAACGGAAATGGATTTCAATTAAAACGAAATATTCATATTCTTTTCTGAACATTTACCTTTCAAATGAAAAGGGACATTTTCAGATGAATTTCCAACAATATACAAATAAATAAGAACTTTACTTTGAGCAAACAAATCCATAAAACAAAAGCAAGCACTCCGACGAGTTTTCTTCTCGTCGTTTTAGCCCATACTATCGCTGATACTGCCATAGCTACGACAAACACCAGAAGTGACGACAAAGCCTTGCTTCTTTAGTTGAACTTGGTAAGTTTCGTTTACAACAACAACTACTCGTTGGTATAAATAATTTAGATGTGCCAAAAAGTTTCATAAGAAATTTATCAGAAGCGGAAAGAGCGAAAAGCTTAAAGTTGATTTGTGCTTTGCAGTTGTTGGCATAACACAAAACAATTTAAGATAAGTAGGTGGGAGACCAATTTTAAATAGACGTTGTATGAATGGAGCGAACCCACCACCACCTACTCAATATTACAGCAACTAATAGCTTGGTTCTAATCCGATTTGAAGCTCATTTAATTATTCAACTACATAAATTATTTATTTATGAGATACCAAATGAAGCGACAAATTTCAGCCACTTGGCAAGTCAATCGCTCAACCAACAAAACGGTCTTGCGATGGCGTCCCAAAAAAAGGATAACTTCGTTGCTGAGGGCGCCTCACTTTGCCGAACTTTGAAGAACACTCAAGTCACGGGCTTGCTACCTGAATCCTGGCCACACGGTGACGTCTCAATTATGCAAATTTGTGAGCTTCGGCATTTAACGTTGATTAGAAAATCCGCAAAAACCCTTGAGCAACGTAAGGCAGCGCCGACCACCACAATAGGCACTCGGTTGGTGGGATTTTAGCCACGTTTGATGCCTGCCAGCGACAAGCAGGCCTTAATCAATTCACACACACACACACACACACATACGTCCTAATGAAGTGAGACCACCAATTAGGCAGCACAAATTAATTGGCAGACCCCAAGGCTCTTTTTCCAATGAATTTCGAGCTCTGTATTTTGGCATTTAAGACCGATTTCCAGTGTCAGCTTTTAGCCTCCAAATTAAAATATTTGTTTCTTCCAAAAATTTACTGCACTCTTGCACATTTTAACTTTTGCCGTCAGCTCGAGTGTCGCAAACTTTTTTCTCTGCGTTTTTGTGTAACGCCAACTACTTGGCGGGTTGGGAGCAGGACGATGGCTAAAGGCAGTGTTCCCCCTGGTTGGTTCGAACTGGAGCAGCAGCAGGCGGTCCAAAGTCGTTTGTCCTTAAAGCGCACTTGGCCATAAATTATATTTCAAACAAAAAGGTTTGCAGCTCTGAAGTTTTGTTTGGCAGGCAATGAAATATGCTTGATGCTCTGATTTTAGTTCGTATCTTATGGTCGTTGAAGATATGAAGAAGAAAATGAATTGAAATTCCAAATTCAGTCTTCATATAGCTTTTGTGAACTAGGGATTAACAAGTCCCGGGGTTGTTAAGGGAACATCTGTCATCGGAATTACAATTCATTTAAAATCTGCAGGTATGACAGAAAACTATTTTTTTATTTAAATGCATTTCAGAATATCCAACTCATACATCACTATTTTGCTAGAAAATCTCGATTAAAGATGTAGTAAAATTGTTTTGTACAAATTAAAAATTATTACTAAAGCTCTGCAGATTTTTGAAGAACAAGAATACTATTTTTTTAACCGTGTGGACTCTTATGTCCATATTAATTTTTCTCAAAAGTTATTGCAAACCAAAGCGTTCAACAACAACCGTAAATTTTGTAGGCTTTTATTTTAACCAAAATTTTCATTTGCTTCTGCAATTTTACAAACAGTTGGGAATAAAGTATAAGAATGCTTGCTACTTGACTGCAAGTCTAGGTTTAAATTAGGAACGATCTATTTTTTGGATCGAGTCTTCAATACACTACTATCACTTTCTAATAAAACTTTCTATATTTTAACTACCATAGAGCTAACCATTAAGAGAGAAATTAGAGGTAAAAGTTCTCGATAAATCTTTACTTAAGTGAAAAATCGTCCACAATCAGAATCCGCTATTATTGGATAATTAAATAAAGGAGATGCAATAAGTTGTGAAATATAATGCTGAAACGTTGCTTGCTATAAAAGAAATATTTAATTAAAATGTCAGGAATTTTCATTTTCGCTAATCAGTTTTGATTTCCTATGGAAATTTAAGCACCTTTTTTAGTGATTTTATGTTGCTGCACTTTTGAGATCGTTAGGAAGTTATTACAAAATGTCAAGAGTTGTTGTCCGTATTATGGTATTTCATATTGTATTATGAACTAAACAGAACCGATTTTCTTGGGCTTCTGTTTCTTCTTCTGTGTTTCACTGTCGCGCTGGCTCAACTCTAGCACTCTCTCTTGTCTAAGAATTAAATCAGTTATTTTAAAACCCTCTACATCAATAGCTTGGATCTACCAAAAAAAAAAAAACATTAATCTGATACCAAATCTCCTTATTTATGGACTCTACCTTACTTAACTTGCGAGCAGCAAGCCCACAGCATCCATACGAAGCGCATTCTCAACCATCAGCCAGCTTTACACGAGACCCCATCCCTCCTAATACCAACATTAGGAGGTAACCGCACTTAATGGTTGAAAACAAAACTTTTGAGCAAAACCGAAAACTGTAAATCTGCAACTAACATTTTTAAGCATAACAAAGTGCGACGGGATTTAACGAATAAATCTTAACGCCGTTTTCAGTTTAGTCAGCCGTGGCAGTGACGCTTATAACATGGTTAACTTGCTCCCATTCGCAGCATCGACGTTCCAACACGATGACTAGAACTTTTTATTGACTTAATGCAGCTGGGAAGTGCACTGAAGTGTTGGTCGTAGATTTAACCCTTGCCTGTACTGGACTTTGAGTGTTTAAAAAGTCGCAATTGAACGATAAAGACGCTACCACAAAACTTTTAGTGTTAACAATCGGTTTGGAGTTGGCTTAAATAACAAATACAAACTCTTCAAATATGAATTGTTCATGATTTTGTCTATTGATGGGTTGTTACCATTTAAAACTTTCAGTCAAGCTTTTCATTAAAGTGCGATGCAGTAATAAATGATAGTGTAGTGCTAGGATACAATAAAATATATGTACATTCAAGTGCGTACGCAGCTTTTACCAAAGGGGGGGCCAAAAAATTGAAATTTTGATTAAATAATGCACGATGCATTTAAAAATCAATGAAATCAATGAAAAAACTTCAACAAATCCAACTCAGTTCCATTTTAAGGCGAAATATAGTAGTGCGTCATAATAATGAACGTGTGCTCGACTTTATATGGCAAAATTTTTGGTAGGGCCAGCCCCCCCCCCCCCCCCCCCCCCCCTGTGTAAGCCCTTGTATACATTTATGGTAAGCTGAGACCATCCTTCACTTTCTGTGTATTTTACCTGCGCTAGGACATAGAACACTCAACCATTCTACTCTTATCACGCATTTACCAATTCTCCCTGTTTTTAAATATTTATCTAAATATTAAAATCAGTATTCCGATTGAAAAATCATGACTCAAGCAATATCTATTGTTATATATTAATTATTTAATCTAACTATTCGACGGGGTAAAAATAGTCGAGGCGAAAGCAAAACTGCATATTGCAGAATTTAGAATGGAAAGCATTAAATCTGCAAATACAATTTATTCAATACAATATATTCGTATTATTATTATTATTGTATATTATATATATTCTGAATCAGCGTGACGAGAGAAATCGATCCGTCTGTCCGTCCGTCTGTCTGGATGAACGCAAGGATCTCAGAAACTACAAAAGCTAGAATAACCAAACTTGGGGTCCAGATTCTCCTAGGTCCGAGAAAGGACGAGTTTGTTTTATTTTTTGGAATTCCCCCCCCCTCCCCCCCCCCTTCCCACGCTACACAATTTCGTCAATACCGTCCACATTTGAGAAGCTCCATTAACCAAAATTTGCACACAAATTTTTTATTTTATTCTCTAATGTTTTATCTAAATTGGGTAATGCTAAGAAAAGTTATTAGCGAAACAATTTCGCTCCTTTGTGTCTTTTTTAAAATTACTGTCCAAATTAGTAAGACTTTATGTTAGCAACCATTTTAATGTCAAAATACACACAAACTTCAACAATATAGTTCATTTACACCTAAACATAAAAGCTTCTGGGGTCCTGGGAATTGAATAATTATGGCAAAATGTCCCTTCCAGGTATAGTGGCTGTCTTCATAGCTACAGCCGGGTGTTTCTTTGCTTTGGGTGCCTATTACCAGCACCACGATGTGGTGCGTAATATCAAAAAATTAGAGCGCAAAAATGCACACGCCTACTATATACGAAGGAAACTTTATGGACTGGTAAGACAGCTCAAGAGATAATATAAGAAACGATCTAACACATGCCACCTTTTACAGTTAGGCATCTTCGGTGCTCATACGCGTGACAGTCCTGAAGAAGAAAACGAAAGCGAAGAATCCAATATATTGAGCAACATTTTAAAATATGGGTTTCCAAGCATGAACGACATACGGGTTCATCGAGACTATGTCATGTCTTTCGATCGTCGAAACTCTGCCATAAACTGGATATGCGAGCGTGTGGATAGCAGCAAGGATTCAATAGCATCCGAGGAGGAGCTAGTAGTGGCCAGACCAAGCATCGCAGAAAGCGTATCAGCGCCAATAGTTTGTGAAATTGCTCATGCAAGTCTTAGACAAACAGCCAAAGGAAATGTTGATCAATCCGAAGCATCTCGGGTTTTCTTCCTCTTGAACATAAAACCCTTTAAAAATGAGGGCTTAAATCTGAGAATCTGGGAAAATCTACTGGGCTATGTGAATGAGCTGGCAAAATGCCATCGCACAGCTTATGTCTACACCGGATCTATATATATGCCCACAGAATTGGGCACCAATAGCTGGTATTTGAAGTTTCAGGCTACAAATGCTACAATGGTAGCAGTGCCTACGCACTTCTTTAAGATCATCATAATCGATCCAAAAGAGGGAACCAGTGCACCATACGCCGAGGCCTATGTAGTACCGAACTCTCCCATGCCAAATATACCCGATCTTAGCGTATTCCTCAGTGATATACGCGATATCGAGAACGCAACCGGACTGCAGTTTTTCGACGGCCTTGCACGCAACTTTGTGAGCACACAAAGCGATCACCTGGGAAGGAATTTGTAGTTGCCCATTGTAATTGCATTTTAAAAATTTTCAGTAACATGTTAATATTATTTGAAATTAGCAATTCTTTCTACTTTTGTATACTATAGATCATACTTGTAGATAGTAGATGTGTAAGGTTGAAAAGAACTCTTTTTGAAGGCTAGTTTGTTGAAAACTGTCAGATATCGAGGTCTGTGATCGATGATGATTGTTTGAACGCCCCACCGCCGAGACAACGATAAAGTCGAGCATGCGCGACAGTGAAATACCCTGAACCCAGGTAAACACGGAGCTAAATTCCTCTAGCAGAAGCAAAAAGAGGAAGAAGAAGAGCGAACTTAATGCTGCAGCTTGTGGGTGTAGTAGCGGAGTGAAATTGTTTCGCTAATAACTTTTCTTAGAATTAACCGATTTGGATGAAATTCAAAACGAAAGTAAATATATGAATAGATTACGTGTGCAAAGTTTGGTTTCTGTAGGCTTACAAATCTCGATAGGCAAAATTGGCAAAATTCTGTAGGGGGTTGGGGAGGGAAACCCAAAAAAATAAAATAAACTCGTGTAGCCTAGGGACTAGGAGTGTCTATGTACCAAGTTTAGTTAATGTGCGCTCAGCGGTTTCCGACATCCAGACGTTCATCCAGACGGACAGACGGACGGACGGACAGACATGTCTAGGTCGATTTCTCTCGGCATGCTGATCAAGAATATATATACTTTATGGGGTCTGAGATGCTTCCTTTTGCATGTTACATACTTTGCACAAACCTAATATACCCTTTTTACCCTACGGGTACAGGGTATAAACAGAAATCGTTTAATTTAATTGCATAATTCATATTCAGCTACAATACTCAAAAGTCACGAAACAATAGAGCTATTGCTCACAAAGTTGGACGGTCGTGTAATTTCCTCTTTTTGGGGAGCTTCCAAAAAGATATGCCGTCACGTTTTTGCGAATTAACACAATGGGTTTGTATTTCTATGGGGGTATGTGTCAAGGTGTGAGCAAGGGGTATTATAGCCACTAGGAAAAAATTAAAACTCTTAAAGCCAACATAATCGGCCAAATAGATGTCCAATTATGGGAAACAATTGTTGAAAATATCGAAAATATAGTGTGAAGGGCTGCAAGAAGATTCGTGACGGCTATCTGGGAGATATCGCTTACTATACACAACTCCCATGTGTCTTTTAAATGGGACAATTAAAATATATCAGATTTATTCCACCAGTTATATATTTCTTCTAAAAAAGTAAACTCTTGTTACAGCACCATTTAAATACAGATTAAATCAATTAGTCAAGCACTTCTAAGACCTGTTGTAGGAACCATAAATTTTTAAAACAATGTAGGCCTTGACAAGATAAACCACTACAAAACAAGACCTAGAAATTGTTAGTTATTTCTTATAATTTCTTTGGGCAAGCCCTACTAGAGGTCCTTGAGTAACCATGTGAGCACACCCCAATGAACAGTCGCTGGCAGGCACTTATCGTAGTGCTGGGTACCGCCGTCACCTGCTTTTTGGCAGGTGCATACTTCCAGCATGATCATGCAACCAGGCAGCTGCAAAAGCTGGTCCAACACGATCCCTATGCCTACTATGTGAGCTCAAAGATCTTTAAGGTGGTAAGACGGTCTTCGGAAAGTTCCATTGCGTTTGCTTTAATATTTTACCTGCTCGTGTAGTTTCAGTTCTTTAAGATACCACAAGATAAAGCTTTAAGCGCTCAAAGAGTACGCTTGGAAGATATAATGAAATATGGCTATCCAGGGCTGGACGACATACACCTGTACAGCGACTTTGTGCTCTCCTACGATCGGCGCAATCGTGTGGCACACTGGGTTTGCGAACATTTGCGAGCCGACGCATTAGGTTCGGCAGCCATAACTGATAGAGGCCGGGGTCGTGTTCGGAGTCGATCTCGTATTAGCTACCGACCCGATTTGAGTGTGCCGTCGAACTTTCGCGCTGCCCTTGCTGACTATCGAAACTCTGGCTTTGATCGTGGCCATCTGGCTGCGGCAGGCAATCATCGCACCCATTGCGATGAGACCTTCTACTTGACAAACATAGCGCCGCAAATAGGCAGAGGTTTTAATAGAGCTGCCTGGAATAAACTGGAGATATATGTACGAAATCTAACATTACGTTATGGCTCAGTATACGTTTTTACAGGACCCATTTATAAGCCAAAGGCACGATCTAATGGCAATTGGAGCATTGAGTACGAAATGATCGGCTCGAATATGGTGGCTGTGCCGACACATTTCTTTAAGGTGCTCATAGTTGAGTCAAAGCTCCCACAGGGAAAACCCTATATGGAGGCATATGTACTGCCCAATGCGCGCATTCCGGACAACATTAATTTGCGAGATTACCTATGCGACATACGCGAAATCGAGCACTACGCGGGTCTGCAATTTTTTAATGGACTCCGAAGAAGCCGAATTTTTGGTAGTAACTTTCCACGATCCTCGCAAGTATTTCAAAATTTTGGATAGATTTTTAAATTGATGTCTTAATAAATAAACTAAAGTATGCTTGTAGTTGCTTTACTTTCAAATTAAAAGATCCGATCAAGCTGAACTTCTTTCTTATATGTCAGTACGATATGTATGTTAAAACATAATAATAACGTAATATTAATATTAAAAAATTAGAATTTGTTTACGAATTCAAACATTTTCGTGGAGTAAAATTTGCTTAAGGTGTGATACAAATTTTCTTTTAGCTGTAGCCCTAATGTATAAGAATAATATAATAATAATATAAAATATATATGTATATAATAATATAAGAATTATACAAGCTCGAAAGAAAATATAGTATAGCGCCAATTCGCACAAAAAACGGAAGGGTTTATACTCGTAGAAGTTTTAGCATAAACGCTCAGTAGTTAGGTTTCAATTATCGAGTAGGCTATCTAAAATTGTATATTTTTTAAGCTTAATTTGGGAATATCGTATGATTTTGTTCACTATAAAACCGCCAGTGCTGTGGAAGGTATTTATCAAAATTAAAAGTAATAGAGTATAAAGTATCCATGCCACAATGCACCCCAATGACTCCCAAGCTCACCATTACGCGCTCTATGTCTTGGCAGGTGTTACGGGGTTTGTCTGTGGCGCCTACTTTCAACACGAATGCTCAATACGTAATCTATTTTACCTCATTCAAACCGATCCCAATGTGTATCACCACCGCCACAAACTTTACCCCGTTGTAAGTTTAACCGAAGTTTCATTTTGCATACAGTTTATTATCTACTCCTCCGTAGCTCTCGACATTCAAAACCGATCACGAATCGCGACTGTGGAATCGCCAGTCCCGCCTAAAGGACAAGCTTCGTGAAGTTCTAGTTGCACCCCTTTACGACATATTTAGCTGTATATTTTTAATGAAGGAGGAACGACCTCCAAAGCCACCGAATATGCTGGAACTGATTAAGTTCGGGTTGCCGGGCACTGAGAACGTCAGCGCTCACAAGGAATATGTAATGTCACAGCAATTAGGTACTAAGGCGACAATTTGGATGTGCGAGCACCTTCATCGTAATAATGTGCAGAAGCTCGTAAGACCAACATCCGGTGAAGATTTTCTTCACCGTTTCACCGACATCCGTGTACTTTCAAGCAACAAAGCAAACATGGGTAGAGTATTTACAAGTAACATCTGGTACGAGCTGGAAATGTACATAATCCATATGGCTATAAAGAACCATTCGGTATATGCGTACACTGGACCGCTTTATTTGCCCAACTGCAGCAATCAAAAGGACTGGTCGCTGGATTACGAGATTATTGATTGGATTCCTGTGCCAGTGCCTTCGCACTACTTCAAGGTGCTAGTAATGGATCCGCCTGCGCCTGATTGCTCTCCTTACATGGAGGGCTTCATTATACCGAATAGAAGAAGTCTTGCCGGCTCACAGCTGCATGAATTCCTAAGCGACGTCGAAGAGATCGAACGTTATACGGGTCTGAATTTTGCCAATTGTTTGCGACACCATGTCCTCATCGATGGCAACGACTTTCCGCCGCATGATCCCTCTAAACGGCCCACCCTTGAAGAACTATCTGAAAGAGTGGCGAAATTTCGGCACGTAACTCCTGAAGAATTCATGTAAACAAACCACAACAGAAACACAAAAAATAAGTACAAAAATGTGAAAGTAAATGCATTTTGTAATTAAACGATCGGTTGTTTTAAATTTCTGTGATTAGTGGTAGCACTGCATGCGGTATCGCCCCACTTGTATCGAGTACTAGCGCTCTTTTCGACATGTGGCAACTTTGTGAAACCAGCTGGCAACTCACCAGCGAGTTGGCAAATGAGAAGCAAAAAAATCGAATTTGGGGGGCTGACGTGGAAGTTTGTTTGCTTAAATTTCTTCGAAAATTACGTGAATTCCGTGCGCCAGGCACCGAAAGTTGCATCCAATTGCACTTTAAAAGCCATTCAATACTCCGTGCGCCTCAAACACGGCCGAATAACTTCGCTGTTCGACACAAAACGCGTCCAAAACGAACTTTGAGCTTCAACAATTTGAGTGTGAAAGTTGTCGTGTGCAGTGCCAAGCCAAGTCTGTGTGGCTTTTATGTGCTCATTTCTGAAACTACCGCAAGCCAATACGTAAAGTAATGAATCCAAACATGTATGGAGCGCCACCAGCGCAATTTCAGCAGCCACCACTGCCGCCGCAACAACAACAGCAGCAATATGCTCCACCTCCGCCTACTGGTGTGAGCGGGGGAGTAACGGGCTGGCCCCAACAGCAGCCGCCGCCGCCGCTGCAACAACAACAGCAGCAGCAAACAGCGCCAGCGCAGCAGTTGCCGCCGCAGCAACAGCCACAACAACAACAACAACAATATGGTGTGCCATCGTCAGCAGCGCCTCCGAATTCTTTAGCTTCGGCTCCCCCCACTTCGCAAGCCTACCTAAACGGCAATTATCAACAGCAGGTAAGCAGCTGCATGTTTTCTCTAAACTCGGAGTGAATCGTGTTAAATAAATGTCAGTTATTTTCCATAAACACAATTCATTGTGTTGCACCCACCACGTCTTAGACTTCGCTGCCTTGTCTAAGGTCAGCGATGTTCTGATAAGCCTTTCTATTCAAGATGCTCGAACGAGGTCAACAGTTTCCCAACAGTAGTTTGTTTCCCCTCTCATTTAATGATAAGAACATAATTGAATGGTGTTTCAATTAAACACATCTATCTATCTGCATTGCAGTTGGCCACGTCGATGGGTGGCTTGAGCATGGGCGCGAATCCTTTGAAGTCGCCGCTGGCCCCTGCCGCCACTCCGTACAATCAATTTAATGCAAATGCTCCACCACCAGCAGCGGCACAGCTCAATGGACCACCAGCGGGTGCAGTGCCAACAAGTTTGCCAAGCACGCTGCCCATAAACAACAACATTCCCTATGGTGCAGGACCCACAAATGGATTGGCTAATGCAACCGGTGCACCGCCGCCACAGCTGTACCCACCCACTTCGGCAGCCAACATGCAGCAGGCGCCGTCGCGAACCGCCACCCCACAAAGCGTGCAGGGTGGTCCGAATCAAATGACCCTAAACAGCGCCAATGTTTCGGGATTGCCACACATGCCTCCGAAGCCCGGTGCGCCAATACCGCCAGCTGCAGCTGCACCACCGCCAGCAGTTTTTATGCCCGGACAAATTCCAGTATCGGCAGGAGTACCACAGGGAGCGGCACCAGCTCCTTACGGCTCACAGGCGCCACAAACTCCGGTTGCGCGTCCAGCTCAAGCTTTGCCACCACAATCTAGTGCACCACCAACAGTAGCTCCAGCAGCAGCAGGACCACCGCAGTTCGGACAACGTCCACAATATCCGCAAGGTGGCATGCCGCCAATGCCACAACCAGGACTACAGCCGTATGGCGCGCAGCCCCCTAGTTATGCAGGTGGTTTTCCAGGACAATTCTCCGGTGTGCCACCACTGGTCGGACAACCGCCATTGCCTGGCCAGCCACCACTACCAGGACAGCAGCCCCCGGGGCCACCTTCCCAATTCGGCGCGGGACCACCTCCAATACCTGGACAACCGCCAGCAGCAGCAAGCGGCTATCCACCGCAGCCAGGACAGCCACCGGCGCAGGGCTATCCGCCACAACCAACAGGTGGGTATCCCGGCCAAATGGGACCACCACAACCAGGATACGGTGTAAGTACACGTAGCTCTAGATTTTCTAGCCTATCCTCTCTAATAGCGCTATCTTGCAGCAACCACCTATGCCCGGATACCAACAGGCACCACAGCAGCGTCCTCGTCTCGATCCGGACCAAATGCCCAACCCCATTCAGGTTATGATAGAAAATCAACGTGTGGCCGGTGGTCCGTTTGTGACAAATCAACCTGGTCTGTTGCCACCGCTGGTCACCACCAAGTTTGTGGTGCACGATCAGGGCAACTCGTCGCCGCGTTTCATGCGGTCTTCGCTCTACTGCATCCCCAACACAGGCGACCTACTGAAAACCACAGCGCTTCCATTCACGCTCAATATTTCGCCGCTCGCACGCATTGGCGAGGGTGAAATGGATCCGCCTATTGTCAATTTTGGCGATATCGGACCCATTCGTTGCAATCGCTGCAAAGCCTACATGTCGCCCAATATGCAATTTGTGGACGCCGGCCGTCGCTTCCAGTGTCTCATGTGCAAGGTGACCTCAGATGGTAAGTTTAAAGTGTGCTCTACACTTTCATTAGGCCACTAATGAATCTACTTCTGTCCACAGTACATCCCGACTATTATCAGCATTTGGATCACACCGGACAGCGTGTGGATAAACATGAGAGGCCTGAATTGCTGCTGGGCACATACGAATTTCTGGCCACCAAGGATTATTGTCGCGTAAGTAATGCCAATTCAAGATTGTCATTTCTTTTAGAGTAGTAACAAAATGGGTGGAAAAGATTCTGGTTTGATATAATCGGTCCAAAAACAGCTATTGTAGCAAAATATTTATTTACTTTTCATTGATAATAAGGGTCATTATATTTAATGGCACACTTAGCCTCAAAATAAGGAGCTTTACAAAAAGTATTGAATTTAAAATATTCCATATTCTTCTCCCCATTCGTTTTTAGCGTTATATCTTGAAAATGTGCCCTAACTTTTCGATTCTCTTACCCTCAGAACAACACACCACCCGAGGTGCCTGCTTTCATATTTATCATAGACGTATCGTATAACACCGTAAAGTCTGGGCTCGTACATCTTCTGTGTTCGCAAATCAAGCACATACTCAAGCATCTGCCGGTGGATCAGGGTCAGGATAAGTCGAGCGTACGCGTCGGTTTCATCACCTATAACAGCACCGTCCACTTCTACAATATTAAGAGCAGTCTGGCACAGCCTCAGATGATGGTTGTTGGGGATGTGCAAGAAATGTTTATGCCACTGCTCGATGGTTTCCTTTGTCATCCTGAAGAATCGGCTGCTGTTATTGATGCTCTGATGGAGGAAATACCACGCATGTTTGTTGATACTAAGGAGACGGAGACCATATTGTATCCGGCCATACAGGCGGGTCTGGAAGCTCTGAAAGCCTCCAATGCAGCTGGCAAGCTGTTGGTATTCAACTCTACGCTGCCCATTGCAGAGGCACCGGGCAAGCTAAAGAATCGCGACGATCGCAAACTACTGGGCACGGATAAGGAGAAAACGGTACTGACTCCTCAGACCACGGCGTACAATCAGCTGGGCCAGGAGTGTGTGCAGCAAGGCTGCTCTGTGGATTTGTTTGTCTTCAACAATGCCTACATAGATATTGCGACTATTGGTCAGGTGCCACGCCTAACTGGCGGCGAAGTCTACAAATATACTTATTTCCAGGTAAGCTCAAAAAGCGTAAACAGGAGAGCACCCCTAACCGAAATTCACTTTCTTTTGCAGGCCGACATTGATGGCAAGCGCTTGATTGAGGACATCATTAAGAACGTTTCACGTCCCATTGCCTTCGATGCCGTCATGCGTGTTCGCACCTCGGCAGGCATACGCCCCACTGAGTTCTTTGGCCACTTCTACATGTCCAATACCACCGATGTGGAGCTGGCCAGTGTTGGTAAGCGACACAACGGTTCCTTCATTTGAAAATCTCACTCACTCTGTTTTTTTTCTGTAAAGATGCCACCAAGTCTATCTGCATTGAAATCAAACACGATGACAAGCTGCCGCCTGAGGAGAACGTCTACTTACAGGTTGCATTGCTCTACACATCCTGCAGCGGTCAGCGACGTCTGCGCATTCTAAATTTGGCTCTACGTGTGACTGTTACTATTGCGGATGTCTTCAAGAGCTGCGATCTGGACGCCATGATGCTCTTCTTTGCCAAACAAGCCTGCTTCAAGCTGATGGAGCTCACGCCCAAGCAGGTGAAGGACAATCTGATACATCGCGCGGCACAGATATTAGCCTGTTATCGCAAGCATTGCACATCCCCCACATCTGCGGGTCAACTCATTCTGCCGGAGTGTCTGAAACTGCTGCCGCTCTATTCATCCTGTTTGCTGAAGAACGATGCTGTTTCCGGTGGCTCTGATATGACCTTAGACGATCGCTCATATGTCATTCAGTTTGTACTCTCGATGGATCTAAATATGTCGGTCAACTATCTATATCCACGCTTCATTCCAATACACACTGTGGAACCGGATGAGACCGAATTGCCAACACCAGTGCGCTGCACGCACGAAAAGATGATGGAGGATGGCGCATACATATTGGAGAACGGCGTATATCTGTTCATCTGGCTGGGACAGTCATTGTCATCATCCTTTGTTCAACCACTCTTTGGTGTGCAGTGCACGCAGCAGGTGAATGCGGAGCGATTCGCCATAACTGCAGACACTCCGCTGGCTCGCCGCATCAACGGCATCATCAACACTATAATGGCGGAACGTACGCGCTACATGAGGGTAAGTGAATGGACATTTTGTATGCTTTAAATGCTTGATTATACTATTCAAATTAATTACAGATTACCTGCGTGCGTCAAAATGATAAACTGGAGAGCGTATACCGTCACTTCCTTATTGAGGATCGCGGCACAGACGGCTCGGCCAGCTATGTTGATTTCCTGTGTCACATGCACAAGGAAATTAAAGATCTGTTAAGTTAGCACGTAGGCTATACATATAAGCTTCCAGCGTCCTCAAGCGCAGCTCAACAGCAGCGATCACCGGACATTTGGGCCAGCAGCTATTCACAGAACCGAGCGCGCATGCGTCGTCTGTCAAGTATGCGGCATCGCATGGTTAAATGAGCAAACGCTGGTGCTTGGAAAACAAAATTAAAAACCAACAATACACATATATTTATAGCATACAACAGACAAAAAAAATCAACAAACAATATTCAATTATGTGTGTAAAACGATAGGAGTGCTGACATCATTTCACGCGCATCAATCTTCCATTATTTTTAACTAAAGTTTAAACAATTTTTGCATGTCTTTTCTTTCAATATTTTTGTCAGCCCATTTAGAAAATTATATTTATCGTATATGTTTGATTCGTGCTTGAAATCGATTATTGCCAATGGCACACTTATTAGAGAATTGAATTCCGTGAATAGATATTTTTAATCTAATTAAAAATAGAATCATCTGACGCGCAATTCCTTTAGTTGAAAACTCCCCACTTACACTTTGTTGAGAAAGCAAGCCATTGGATGATTACAGCAACCGTAGCAGGAGAAGCAGCATAGGATTAATTCTTTACTGTAATTACATAAGGCTTACGATATCTGATTTATTGGCCTATAGTCGAAAAATAAGAAGGATGTAATAAATCGGGCAATACTGAGTAACACATTTGTATTTACCATTTGTTTTTGGGATACTTCCTTAATTAAAGGATATGAGCATATGTCGATTATTTACACTGTGTTCAGATTTCCCCCATTACTTTATTTGTTTAATTCAAAAGATTATTGTTTATCTACACTAATACGCATATTTGTTTCTTGTGTGAGAATTACTTCAATCGTATATGTATGTCTTAATTGTGTGCAACATTTATTAAAAATAAAACGAAATATTACAAATTTAAATGAATATCTATATATATAAAAATGGAAGTATAACTTCCATATAAACTCCGAAACTGCTCAACCGATGTTGATAAAATTTTGTGGCAATATTCAAAATAGTCCCGTGGGTAAGCTTGTGAAGTTTCATGACTATTCGTTGACGCAATCAACCATCGTTTTCTGGCTTATTTCTGCTACTTTAATATGTTTGATAGTCACTTTTTACTCTGTCAGTGTTTCATTCGACAAAAATCGAATTCAAAAAAATGCCAATGAACGCGAATAACGTTTGCAAGATCTTTGCGAAACGGCATATACGTCTAGAGCCATCAAAACGAAACAAGAACGGAAGTCGTGGCAAATGCGCGAAAGCGCATCCACATCTGATCCAAGAAACACCAACAGTGGGCGATGGACATCCTTTGTACAGGCGACCAAAGGTGGACGACAGTGGGCTCTCAATCAAGGACGTAATCGAAGCCGTAAAAAGCGAAGGACGTATTGGGAAAGATGTGACGACGGAAAGATTACAAATCTTTATATTTGTCAGATAAATGTGCATCATGATCGCTTTTTTCTTCACTTAATTTGCAGACTTCAAGAACGGATGAAATAAATTTGTAAAAACTTACTCACGAAAATAACAAATATAGGTTATCAAAAATAAAAATTTTTACAGCCTTTACATTTGACAATTTTTCCAATAAAGTTCAACTTCTGGTAAGATACCATCATAGAATCATATCTAATAAAATCTAAGAAACACGGAAAAACTTCATTCAACATTGCATTCCAATGTTCACCAATTTTCGAATATGAATCGAAAAATAATAAAATTAAGAGCGGGGGCCTACAGTTTATATATCTCTGCAACTATAGTTATATACTCTAGGAACTCTGGGAAGTTCATATTTAAAACAAACAGAAGGGCACAATTAAAAGAAATATATTCTGCTACTTGATTAAAATTAACAAAAGCATATCTAAGTATCAATCCTTTGAGATACTAGATCCGCCCGATATGATATTCAATTCACTGAATTTTGTTTTATATTCCCTAAATATAGAGGTTCCGTTCCTATTTCGATTCGAAATCTCGGAGGTTTAACTTTTGAAAAAATCTAAAACAACTCACTTGCTTACACGTTTGAATATTTTTTTATTTATATTTAATCAGATAATCGTGACAATTAATATTAACGTATGTTTTAATTGCAAACATTTTTTTCCAACATTTTTTGCAATCTTTTATTTTCATACAGATTTATCGGTATATATATATATATATATATTTATTTATATATATTATTATGCCATTAAATATCTAGAGTTATATGACGTGCACAATTTACATTTACATACACAAAATTGTATAATAGAAAAATTTGTCAATGTTCCCGAAATATGTATAACAATAGAAAATTATTTTACTTTAGATGTCTCTCTCTGTATGTGTGTGTGTGTGTGTGTTGGTGCATGCTTTTTGTAAAACAAATTAGAAATAAATAATGGCTCTGATAGACAATTTTGAATATATGTATATATTTAGATCACAAAGGAACACTTGGAATATTTAATTATGTTAATTGCCGGTTGTGTTAATTCAATTTGTTTTCTTTTTACTTTCATTTCATCGAAATTATATAGAGATAACGACATTGACATTGCACGCAGTACAGAATCAGCCTGACGAGAGCCCATCCGCCCATTATTATTGTGTTACAATCTTTTGTGGGCAGGAGGCTTACATACATCGAAGTTGGTTTGCTTATTACATTTAGTTTTAGTTTTATAATTATGTAAAAAACAACCGCTTCGGCAAATTGCAAGAATTGTTGTTTACAAATTAACTATACAGGTTTTCTTTTTTGCTTTTTCATTGTTTGTGTATTTGTGGAATTTTTGATTTAATTCCCAAAGACGAATTCGCTTGCCGAATTTGTTGAATTGCTGAAAATACTCTTTCATAACTTTTAAATACGGTTAGAACATCCAACTTATGGAATAACACGGCAATTGTTTGTGTACATTTAGACTATTAACTAGAGTTTGTTTTTATTTAAAAAGGAATTGCAAAAGAAAAATATAATAACGCGAAAGGTTTCCACATGAAAACACTGCTGCTGGCATTGCAGGCAGCATTTAAAAAGTTCTATAAACAATTTGCTTTTTTTTTTGTTTCTTCAACTTATTCTTTAAACACTTGCCGCATTTGCATTTCAATTTAAACTGAAGGAAATCATTTTGCGCTTCTAAAGTTTCACGGCAATGGTTGCCGATATTTTCATTTTTTTCACTCTCTCGTTCATTGGTTGCTCACAAATTGCTTACACATTTGAAAAACAAGCAGCAATGTTTGTAGGTATGTGTTCTATGTGTGTGTGTCTGTGTGTGTGTTTTTGTGTATATGTTTATTTGTGTGGGCGTAAGTTTTGCTTATTTCGTGAACGCCATAAACACGGCCCAAAGAATTTCATTCGCATTCGGCTTAGCCGCCTCTGTTTCAAAGTCCAGATCGAGCAGTTCTCGAACACGTTTCATGGCCACCTCGTAGTCATCATCGTTGAGCGGCGCAAATGCATTCTCAATGACATCGCTTGCGTGCGCCAGGAAGATCAATGCCAGCATACGTTTATCCATACGTTGTGGATCGTTCACCCATTTTGACAAAACGGCATCTTGTATCTGCAAAATGAACAAACGGGCTTGATTGGAAGGAACTCATTCTGTAGGATTTGTCGACACTTACCTTCTTGACCAAACGGCACTTGACAACATTATCGCTCAGCGGATGTGTCGTCATGTCGAATAGCAGAAAGTTTTGTTTTTCTGTTGTCAGCACACCCTTCTCCACCAAGTTCTTGGCCAGTCGCTCACGCACATTCTTCAGCTGGTAGCGCAGCTTCAGTGGATTCCAAGTCTCGCCTGCAAAAATCACCATTCAAGCATATGCACTACAATATCCAATTTGTAGCCTACCACTCAAATACTCAATCCAACTTTGGACCGTCTCTGGCGGATCGGTTTCCTTAATGTGTTTCAGTGCCTCATCAAGCAAAACATCGCCGGTTTGCTGGTCTGATTTTAAAATAAGTTTCCTGCCAGAATACGTTTCAACAAATAAATCATTTCTGGATACTCTAGATAAAGGCAATGTATGCAATTTCAACTCACCTTGTACACAAACCACGTCGTCGCATGCCCGTTTTCTCAATCATGACGCGCCCACGTATGCCCAGCTCGATAAGTATGCAACCACGCAAGCCGCTTGATATGCAATCATTCCAGAACGATGTGTAACCCTAAAAAGTAAACATAATAATAATAAGTTACAGATACAAAAGATGTACAAAATTGGCTTTGTGGGAAACAGATGAACAAAAAACAAACTGAAATCTTTCAACTCTTGTGTTGTGTGCCGCGTAATCCTCGCCGGCCCGGGGCTAGGTTTATTGAAGGAGACCGCTGGCTTGTTTCAATATACAAAAATTTATTAATAATATTTGCTTCGTGGCTAACAAAATAAGGTTGGTCTTGCATCTCCGCGACTTCAAAAATGTACTACAGGTCTTAAAAGTGGTTAGTATATAGAAGAAACAATTAAAGGCTAACAAAATTTGATGTATTTAAAATAAAAAGTGTTTCTCCTTTAAAGATGTTTAGGAATATACATATTGAGAGAAGTTATAGAGCATGTTGTTAAATTAAAGTTTATTTATTAAACCAAAACGTTGAAAGTTAATGCGACAATGGTCTATACTTAAAATACATTGAGGGTAATAATTATATAGATATTTGCGCTAATTTTGTAATTTTATAGACGGAGACTTGGCGGTAGTTCAAATATATGTACATACTTCTTTTTCCAGTTGGGGGTGGCAACACCAAACAACTGTTCATAAATTTACATACAAAGATTTAGATTTGTAACATATTTTGCAAACAGCTGATTGCTATCCACAGAATTTCTGCGGTGTTACCACACAGCGTTTGGAAAGTACGATGACAGCATATGTAAAGGGGAAATATATTATCCGGAGTATTTAACAAAACACTATTAAATCAATTTTTAAAAATGGTCGATGCGCAATTTATTCATATCAAGTCCTAATCACTTACAAGAAGCATGATTTTTTGGTTGGGGTAAAATGCATAATAAATGGGAAGACTTAAAAAGTTAGAAAGAAAGATAAAAAATTGTCATTCTTCATTCGTATGTACATACATACATATGTATGTAAGTACTATATACAATAGTTGACAGCCCAGCGATTAAATGTTCTCAGAAATATGCTTGTAGATTATTTAAGATGAAAGAGATACAGATGATTAGACAAACAACAAATTTTTTTGGCTCAAGCTTTCGTTAGAAGTGCGAGAACTGTTTTATTATCTCTGTATGTATCTGTTTTGATCTTCACCTTGGAAAATTTTCGCATTTATCTTTTGGTTTGTACGCTTAATATCAGTTACTAGCCTTTGATCTAAAAAAGCAGTTACTAGCCTTTGATCTAAAAAAGCAGTCTCAAGAATGCCAATAAACATAAACATCAGCTTAATCGCCATGTTTATTATTTTAGCCTGAATTGTTTTTTTTTTTTGACCCCGTTTCGAGAAATGAAACTTGCACATGTTCGCCCTGCAGAATGAACTTATTGCAGCTTGCGTTGAATGCAAGGCTCAGTCTTTTTTAATCCACGCCAATTGTTCAAACATTAAACAGATGCATTTGTTTAAGAAAAAATTATAAGTATGTTGGCTTGTAAGCCAACCCAATAAAAAAAAACCTAGCCGATTACAGACGCATAAGCTTATCAATTGGAAGCGTGTTTATAGGTCGTATTTTATACACTTCCATTAAAAGTGTCCACAAGTGAATCACAAACTGGAAGTACTTATAATCGCTGACCATTTTGTCTGTATTTGGGAAAAGTACTTATCAGGTACTCAAATGTATAATAGTGTATGGCTACCATTGTTGAATTTCTTTTCTATATACTGAGTACGCATACGAAAATAAAATTAATGACGTTTTGTCTGATAAGAGTACGCCGGACCTCAACAATGACGATCGGGGCAAAGAGAGGAGGGCCCGACGAGCTTCTACAACTTCCTCAAATAATTTACTTAATTAAAATGTTTGCGATAAGACCCGTCGCCAAGTGTATGATGCAAAAAGTGAACCAATGCTACGACACGTTTCAGAAGAGAGCGAGACAAACTAAAAACAAATAGACCTGCTACTTAACAGTTCGTAACATTTTCGTAAGTACATCACGAGCTGATAATATGTATTTATACAGAGACCATGAAAACAAATGGTATTGTAGTTAAACATTTTGTGAACATCACAATGAGAAAGAAAGATAAAGCACAGAGCAAAATGAAATATCGTTACTGAAACATACGAGTGTGCAGAAACGAATCTAGTCGCCGTAAAACGATCTGAGCTTCGATGCGAAAATGTACGATAATATTACAAAAATATGCAAATCAGCTCTACAGTCGAACGACCAACTGAGCAATGAAGAGGCACTTATGTATATAGTGCCGGAAACTTGTTTTGTTTGACGAATAAACGAAATTGCTAATAAGAAAAAATGGATATGTCCAAGCTCAAGTCCTATGCCTGCTCAGTGCCAATGAACTTCATATTCTATTAGATGGTTAATGCTTAGATTGCTTAGAACAATAAGTGTTGACTTGGTGCAGAGTTGTAATTAATAAATAGCTCCAAAGTACTCGTATGTTAGTCTAGTTATTGAAAAGACAAATCGGAATTAGGGTGTTTTCTCATATATGCTCAAACAGAAACTGACCAAAACATCTTAGGCATTTGCATGTCTTTACATAAATCGGTCTTAATATCTTTATCAATTTCGAATTAAAATGTGGAATGTTGTAACATTCAAGACAACTCGGAAGATCTGCAAATTATATATAGCTGTTCAATAGTTTTCAAAGTATTTAACTGTTTCAATTTTTTTCTAAATATATTAGAAGTTTAGGTTTAAATTACGCGAATATGCTGAACAATATATAAAAAATATCATATATTTATATATAAGTACATGTCTGAATTTGTCTTTGTGCCATTTTCTTTACAAAGTGTTGAAATTCCGCATCACGGCCCACTTTCTTAGCTTAAAACAAATTGTCACGTTTTAAGTCAAATTTGTTCCAAAGCAAAATCAACAATTGTGTGACATCTAAAGTGCAATAAATGTTGAAGAAATACTTTTTTCTTTATTTTATGACAGCTATTGAAATGTAAAATGGATCTACTACCATACAAATACAAATGGTCAATGTTTTATAAAGACTTTGTTTATGTAGACAAAAACAAAGTTGTAAATTCGAATAAAACAACAGAGAGGGAGCAGCGAAAAGATATTAAAACTTATTACACAATACAAAAATGTGCATTTTATTTTATTGTTGTTGGCAGCCAAGTGGCGTTTTTAGGGCGCAGCAAGCGTCAATGCACTTCTAGGCAATCACCAACAACCACAATGCAATAAGTTAATACAACTTCATGGCTGGTTATGGGCCTAAAGCGAAGATGAAGAAGAGAGATGGTAAAAACAAAAACGTTGACAGCGGCGCCGGCGGAGGCTGCGCTGCCCATTAACATTTTAAATTTTACACACACACATACATTTGCACAACAGCACAACAACAATAAGAAAGTAGACAGATGGCTTCAAGTGTGGCTTGTCGTCATCGAAAATGTCGAGGAGAGTTGTAGTTGGCAAGAAAAAAAACTAAGGCGAAAAGGTGATGATGGCAATTAGAGCTAAAAGGCGTTCCAATTCCAATTAGAAAACAGTTCTAGCATAGATAGCACCGCATTTATCAGACAATATTTATCAGATGTAGATGTGTGTTTGTGACGAACCTCTTTGTCCTTTAGGCCCAACAGCAACACCTCCTCCATGAGCGTAAGTCGTGTCTCTTTTGAGTCTCCATCGTCTAGGTTGTCCTCCTGATCCTTGTTATCGAGTGAGTCCTGATTGTCATCCAATGTGTTAGCGTTCAAGCCTGATGCGCCCTCAGCTCCATTCTCGCGAGTCTTCACAGCACGCCTCACCAGACCGTCGGTGCGATTCATTATGAATGATGGCGGCACTCGACTATGGTGATGATTGTGATATTCCTAGGAAAGTACGGCACAAATGCGTAATTACTGGTTGGTTCTGCTTTCTTGCTCTTTTCGACGACAATGTTCTTGATGATTTTTTGTGTGTGTGGCACAATTGCGGACTGCGCTGTTGCTGCTGTTACTTCTGCGGGTGCTCCTCTTGCCTTTACGAAGTTTATGTGTGTGTTAGATAGGTATTGTTGTTGTGTATGTGTGTTGTTATTCTGCTTGTTCCGCTTCTTTCTTTTGTATTTTGACTTTTTCGTTGCCTTTTACACGCACTTTTTCACTTCTTCTTTCTGCACATCGGGGCTACACTGCGACAGCGACGGTTTTGTTTATCTTCTTGTTAAAACTCTAGAATTTACATTGACAATTTTGTCGGATTTATTAAAAATACACAATAAATATATGCAATCGCATATTATGCACTTGTTCTATGTAAAAGTTTGCGCAAAATAAGCTATCTTTTAGTATTTGTGGCTTTGTCGTCGATTTCGCTGATGTTTCTCCGACGTGACATTACTGCCAGTGCTGGTAAGCGTCGTGTAATCTTTTGTCACATTAACGAGTCATTAATTTTTATTTAAATTGGCTAATTTGTAAAAGCAATTAGAGTGTCAAAATTTCGAGAAAATGTGATAACTAATTAGTTTGAACAATTTTTGGAAAAGTAAATGCAATGTTTTTTAATACCTGTCAGCTGTTAAAAATAGTGTGGGAAAGTGTCGTAACAACTGTCATTGAGGTAAACTGTCTGCGTTTCGTAGTGAATAGTTCTGGGCGGTGTAGTAAACAATTTTTGTTAAAAATGTCGTATCTTGCCAATTTCAACAATGAGAGCGCCAAACAAATACTAATGGACATAATACGAACGGTGAATCAGCCGGAGAATTGTAAAAGATTGTCCGAGGCCAAGGCGTCGGCCGGCAAGGAAATGATACTGATGATGCAGCACGTCTTCCCGTTGGTCATGCAACTGCAGTTGGAGGTAATCAAGAGTCATGGATTTCCAGGCAATCGCGAGGGCTTAGTGCAATTTTCCCAGCTTGTACGCGAAATGGAGCGTGACGATATGGATATTGCGCGCCTGCGCAGTCAACTAAGAGCGATTTACCTACCACCGATATCAATAAACACAACAAACGACATATTGATATGAATCCGATTATAATCTTAAGACTGAATCTTGATCGTAGATTTAAGTTTTCACTAATTGTCCTCTCTCTTTGGTGTCTATTTGTATTGCCTTTTACCCAAGAATTGTTTGCCTTTAAGATAACATTGAAAAACATTTGAAATTTGATGTTTTTGTATTTTGCATGATTTATACATTCATATGTCAATCTATTACTAACAATAAGTAACATGGCATAATATATCTTATAGCAAAAGCTAAGAGTTGTGCTTAAATCTGCGTTTGTTCACGTTCAATGTCAGGATATGTGAAAACAGTCACGAGCAGCTATAAATGATTCAATTTTTTGAATTGAATGTCTAATAATAAATCCTTATTCCCTACGCTTTATTTACACGTCCAGTGATAGCTGCCGCACAGTCCGCTCAGTCAAAGCGCAAATGTTGCGTGCATTTTGAAGGAAAATTAACAAATATGTTATATTATAACAAAGGGCAATCTGGAGATGATCACAGCGCGTATCTAACGACCCACATCTCCATTTGTGGTGGAGGCAGCCGCTGCTATATTGTCCAGATTGCTGTTCTGATAGTCATCGGTACTTAGCTTGACCGGATTGATTGTGTTCGCTGTGTTTGTGTTTATGTCATTGCCATTAAGTTGGAGTTTCTTCTGTAAATGCTGCAATTGCTGTTCAAAGTGCGCATCCTCGGCAGCCGAAACACTGTCCATATCATTTATAATAGACACCGACATTGGCGAAATCGGTGTTGTGGGCGTGGTTACGCTCAACTCCTCAATGGTCGAATCACTTTGATTCGATGGTGTATTGGAACGAGAACGCACCGGGTACGAATCATCCAAAGGTAAGGCCAAGCCCTGTGTAATCATCAAATGTCCCAAATTAACTTCTCCGCCATCAGTGGGATCGAACAGCTCAACACCAGGTATGGGTGTACCGTCACGTGCAGCTGAGCTCGCTGCTTGTTCAGGGTTTAATCTCGGACGTTCCTTATAAGTCACCACGCGCGATATTAACTTGCGCCAATGCGCCACTATGGGAAGAGTAGAAAATTAATAATTTAATTTTTAATTCTAAATAAATGGTTGAATTTGGAAATGGGGGAACAGGGCTGATTTAAAATTCAGAAAAACTACTACCCTGACATCTTTTATATCCATTCTCCATTTTCTACATACCCTCTGTTAACTCCTCAAACTTGGTTATCGAATTCTTTGGCCATCTCAGAGGGTCATCTATCAGTGGCGACTTCACATTAGCCAAAAAGCATTCAACAGCCTGGAATCTATATAGAAACAGTATCAATAAAGAAGCTTAATTATCCAAAACTGGGGATCCACTCACCTAAGTGTTAGAAAATCTGTGCGTAGCTCGCAGATATCTGCTGGCGCAATGTACTCGCTATCTCCATAATCCACGAAATATAAATCAATAACCTGCTCCTGGGGGTTGAACTGATTGGGCATTATATCGACAACCTCAGCACGATACCATTTCTCATCGAACTTGAAAACGGCGGCAACAATCTGACCTACATAGGGCGCTGTGAGCACATGCTTGGCACGATTCTCGGCACTGCTATAGTAGTTCGTCATCTCCTGCACCATATCGTCCAGTTTCTTCGACTGTGGTCCCACCAGTTGTACCCAGAATTTGGTGGGCGATGCCACCGCTGACACATAAACCTCCATTGGTTTATCATCGACGCGTGCGGCCAGCATTTTATCCCGTGGCTGCAGCGAACTCAGCGAATTCTGCGATGAATACATGCTCGAGTTGGTGGGCGAGCGGCGTGGCTCTCGTTTCTGTTCCACTTCCTCGACGGCTCGACGCAAATCTTCATCTTCTTCTATTTGATCATCCAGCAATTTTCGCGCAATGTTTACCTGAAAATATATATAATATTAATTGGGATTAGTGTTGATAATAGATGGCTGCTTAACTTTGATTTATTATAAAAAATTGTTTTCTTTTATTTTAAACAAAAAATATTTTGGGATGCAGTCGACACAAAATATTTTCACTGTTTAAAGTAAACATTAAAATATGGTCCACAAAACTTACTCGTACATATGTTTACTTTTAATTTTTAACCACTCACCTGCTTCTGATTGCCGACAATTGTGATCTTGGCCTTGTTATTGCGTCCATTCAGATCGATGCTGACCTTGGCCAGGGAATTTCGGCATATATCCTGTATAATTTCAGCGCCACGTCCATTTAACTTATGGGCCAAACGATGAGGCACTTGCAGCTCCACCTTGACCACAGGTGCGCGTTCGATTTCTTTGATGAGCAGCACTCGTGCCGCCTTAACCGCATCCGGCACACCGTTAATGTCACAGAATTTGTGACCGCTGTCTTTATCGCTATATATGTATAAAAATGTGTATAAATATTTGTGTTATCAAGATGATTTAGCATTTAATGCCAAAACGTTTACCGTAATCTTATCTTGGCTCCGGTCTTTTCTTCAATAAGTTTGATATTAGCCCCTCCTCGTCCAATTATTAGGGGCACATGGTCGTTCTCTACAACAATTTTGAGACAAATCTCCTTCTGTGGTTGTTGTTGTTCCTGCTGCTGCTGTTGTTGTGCGGCTGTTGTGTTCTGTTTTTGTTGTTTCTTTGAGCCCTCGTTATCCTCATCGTTGCGCTGCTTAAAATAGGCAAATAACATCGCGCCGCCCAGAGAGCAGAGACCCAATCCGAGCAATAATTTATAGGTGGGTGTCGAACCAAAAGCTGTGTTGCGCAACATATTGTTGTTGTTCTGTTGTTAGATTTATTTTGTTGACGTGGCTGGTTGTTGTTGTGTGTATAGCTTTAGGTTTTGTTAAATTTAGTGCTGCGGCTTTAGGTCAACAACTGCAAGAAAATAAAACATGTTTAGCACTAATCCATATGTCTGTACATTTAAAGGTCGCTTGCAATGTGCGTGAGTCACAGAAATAAACCCACAACTACTATAAAAAATTGAAGCACTTTTGGGCATTCTTCTAGACCCGCTCCATCCGTTGCCCCCTACCCTAATTATGTAAGCCTGCGCCTATTTCATGTCATTGTTTATTTCACAAACTGGATCAATAGAAAACGCGGGTCAGGTACGTGTATATGCTCGATTGCTCATTGTAGCCCTATATATGCATTATATATTTACAGCCCCTCCTATCGCTAATACCAAACCAAGTTTTCAGTCACTCAGTCATCAGTGAATCGCCTATTCAAGCGTGCAGTGTTAAAGCTTGAATGGGGGCTTACAATGTTATATAATCTCTTATCAGCAGTAAATTCAAATTTCAAATAGCTCTGTGCATCTTCTCTCTCTCTCTCTATAATATTGAAGTACATTCATACACACATTGTTTATTTGTTTTTACACAAATTATTATGAGAATGTGTTAAGAAAATAGCAGCCAGAAAAAAAGAAACTTGGCAGACTGGCACAAAAATGTATAATGAATGACTTCATGTTTGGGCAGCGTCAACAGAAATAGGTAAGAATTGCAGAAAATAGACATGTGACGTTACGCCAACACCGGGCAACAAATTGCCAAGCACATTCAATCAATTACCTGAACAAACACAACTCTATTTTGAAATTTATGGGCAAAATAAAAACGACATATAAACTTGAAATTTGGAAACACACAATGGAAATGTTCTAAAGTTTTCAACTTTTACTTTAGATTTTGAGAAGCTCAACGAATGACATATTTTTCAGGGACTGATCTCGCAACCTATGCCCAGTGTTTTGTTTATTCAGCTGATTTTTCCAAGAATACTTCGCTCAACGGAATATCAAGTTTAAAGTTCCATGAATAGCTTTAATGAAGAATAGAATAAGAATATTTATCTCTTACTCTGTAAGTCGAGCAATCCTTAAACTGGTGTACTATTTCAGTGGTTTACCATAGCTGCGGGTCCAACTACCAGATTTTAATACAAATTTCCAGCTACTTTTGTATATACATACAAATATATTACTGAGTACTTTTGTTTCTAATCGTTTCAAACTGTGGTAGTGGAGACTAGAGCTGAGCTTTGATTTTTCCGTGCGTGATTTCTGTGACGACTACAAAGATTTCCGTGATGTTCAACTCATGAAAATTCACGAATACACAAAATTTTACCAAATCTGAAGACAAAGACGGAAAACTGATATGAAAAAAGGCCTCCAAAAAATACATTCAGAACCAGAACTCACAAAACCCCAAAAATGTTAAGTTACTACATCCTTTAGTATGGCAAATTATTTTTAATACCCCTCGACTACAATTACATAAATATCATCTCAAAAATCACATTCAAATATGTACTGATTACAAACTATACATACAAAAAAGGTTAAAAATAATTTAATTAAATGTCACTTTTACTGACAAGACAAAGAAAACTTTATATAAATTTAGAATCTACAATGATTATAATTGTAATAATAAAACATTTACAACAATTTGTGGGTGTTGCTTCGTGAGTGTGCCTAAAAATTTGACGTGCGTGAACGTGACGGCTTTTACTGTCACGCGCTTAGCTCTAGCGAGGACCCAGGCATACCCGTAAGGAGTCTAGCGGTAAGCCTTTATGACTCCCAACTGGCTAGCCCCCATACTGGTTCATCCCAACAAGATTAACCTCTACGCTATTTTCAATTTGTTATTCGCCTTTTTTTGTATGCCAATAAAGAAATATTGTAACATGTTGTCGCAATGTGTTGCACAGTGTTATGGAAACATCTAAAAACACAAAGGCAATAAAAAGCTAAATTAGCTGCAGTCCCACGGATCACGTAATGCAAATGGAAAAGTGCATCATACATATAAGTATGTATGCATGTATGTATAAATTTATGTACCTGTTTATATTACACATGTATGTATAAATATATGGATGTATGTAACTAGCCGAAAACAGTGAAAATCAATTAACACTAACTTCGTTAATTATTCAAAGAACGTACTGGAGTAGAAAATTTAAGTTGGCTTATGATAATAATAGTAATAAATCACAAATCGTCCAAGTATTTTTTTTTGTTTTGATGACAATGAAATCTTAGACAAGTTAAACAAGTTTATGCGCTTCGATTCTGGAAATGGACCGGTTTCGCATTATTTGAACGCTTCCTAAACTGCAAGTTTGATTTTAAGTTCACTCGCTGGCACATGCGAAATATTTATGTACGTCTTATCGCAAATTTTTGTTTAAAAATGATAATATACCTATGAATATAGTATGTATGCATGTGTGTGTATATGCAGATATTTGCAAACGTTTCAAAAATAGCTCCACTAATTAATTTTGAGCCTTTGATCGTTGTTTACGAAGTGGACTACGTGCCTGACCTTGATCATGAACGGTTTTAATTGTATTGCTTCTTATTTAATATTTCGCGTATTAGACGATTAAGTTCAACTTTTATGAAAAGTTTCGTATGTCTAGTATTGTTTTTTTTTGAACATAAACATAAACGCTTATACTCAATGAAACGCTTTATTTGAGCAATCATTGACACTGCAAATTCGTTCGAAACATTTCGTAGCTGGCAAGCAAAAAATAAACAATTAGCGGAAACTCGATTTTCGCGTTGCCGTCGCGTCTACATTTCAACGTTAACTGCTTAGAAATTTAAATATTCGTTCGCTGCCATATAATTGAGCGCCGTCAGCTGTTTGGAGCTCTCTTTCTCTCTCTTTTATTCCCATGCAAACTCATATACACACACGTACAATACAAAAAACCGTTGTGTTTTAATGTTGTTTACTTTGCCGGCTTTTTTCGAAAAAACGTTTGCAGTCACTTCGAGCTCAATTGGACAGCTAATGGCATAAGCGAATAATTCATTATCAATTGGCATAAACATACAATGAAACATAAATATAATTGAAAGCTCAGCGTTTTACGCAGCATGCAAGCTAAATGTGATGACGAAACGACACAATATAGAGAGCGCCTGCCGAGCAACAAAGCGTATGTATTTATGTGTGTGTGTGACAAACGCTAAATTTAGTTAAATGACATAATAACTGTTCGGTTGATGTTAAAGTTGTGCTTGAGCTTGAAAAGGATGCAAACATATGCAGTTGTGCTTTAGAAATCAGAAACCAATATGTATATATGTATATTTATATATGTGCATACATACATATATACACAACATACATACGTACATATGTATGTTTTACATCTTATTACTATTATTGCATTCGTGTAACTTTTACTCTCTGCGCATATGTACATACATACGTACATAACTACAGTTAACCTATCAAGTTTACATACACTATATTATTTTAAATCAACTCCATGTTTATTTTATTAGGAAAAATTTTTCTAAATTCGGGTTCGAAATACAACAGATAGTGGTTTTCGACACCAAAGATCCATAGTGACATTTTATTGCTAATTGAATTCATTGGAACACAGATCTAATTGAAGATTACCGAATTGTTTTGAAACTTCATTGACGAAAGGAGATTATGCTTTTATTTTTCTTCCGTAAATGTTTTATTCCGTAATGAAGCTTTGAACTTTTGTTTCTATTGTAGAATGTAAGCAAATTAGTAAGCAAACTGTATTGGCTCACTGTACGCCACTTGAGGCACATTTGGGGATCATTCATTATTTTCCAGAAGCGTCTCGGTGGGCCTTACAGGCAAAACCAGATGGAGGGTAAAGGGCGCCCTTTTAATTGATTTACAGATGAGTTTCTATTGATAGATTCATTTATGGAGTAACAATGAAAATAGTGCCCTACAAATAAACATTTATATACCCTGCCATTTGTACGTTCGCAAAAGGGTCACGCGGTGAAAATGTCTAAAATGAAACGAATTTTTGGCAATGTTTCAAAATTCGCATAGATGTATGTATGTGTGAATGTACATACATACATAGAAGCGTATCACCGTTGCCTGTTGCTAAATAAAAAACAAATCAACAACAAATACTACGTCATGCCAAAGTATTTAAGTCCACTAGAATATTTGGATAAATCTCATAAGCATTCAAATGTACATCAAAAGCGATATATCACTTACAAATACAAATTAACAGTAGAGTATTTTTGGCAAAGCTCTGAACAAGGTCCGCACATTTAAGAGAACAAACAACAACATTTGCATTGTTAATTAATGCTGCAAGGCACGTTATCAGCTTCTAAACCAGTTTTATAACAGAAAAATAGCAAAGCTAAAAAAGAACAGAGCGGAATGGGAGAGAATAGAAGGTATTTATGAAAGGTAAAAAGGTCAGGCAGTGGCAGTAAGATGAAAAGTCCATAAAGGAGGCGTTTGTTTTACCCCAACTAAGCAAATCTTTTACTAAATGCCTTCACACGCACACTTGAGTTACAATGACATTTGATAAGTAAAAGCGACGCCGTTGCGGAACTTACCCGATTGCAAACTAATGTCTAATTTGTGAAGTTATTTTTTATATAGTGTACTTAAGTGTCTTATGTTTGGAAGCACTGTTTTAACAATAAATTCCCGTCATGTCTAATTTGTTGCTTATGTTGCGGGGACTAATTAAAAACGTGCGAAGCGTAGGTAAAGTTAACAATCGAAAACCGTCTTCTTCTTATTTGACATTCATAATGTATTGCCAGTGTAGAGCAACGCGCATTATAGCTTTCTTGACATATTAATGCGTTATTTTCAAATTTAAACAAACTTACTCCTATATAAGCCAAAATTCAGCGACTTCTGCTATATTTTTGTTCTAAGTAAATATAAAATGCAATTAAACAGCAAGTAACTGCATGCCATAAAAGTGAGCGCTACGGTCATGCGCAAATCTAAGTACAATGAACACTTTCAGTTTGAAGGCGCACCTAAAACTAAATGGAGGATTTAGCTTAAGGTGTATAGCATGGTGAAGAAACTAGGAAATGTCGCGTACTGTGTTTGGCTTGATTCCATCCACATCAAAGCACCGACAGCTGCACGATGATACAGGACATTCTGTGTTCTGTCTGTAAAATCAAAGCGATAAGTAAAACGAAATTGAACAAAAGACTGCAGCATTACTTAAACCACTGCATAATATGCTCCGTATGACCGCCGTGCCTGCACGTCTGGCACCAGGCGAACCACTTAGAAAACGGCTTTGATGGCCAAGCTTGAACTTCTGCTGGGTTTTCGCCGGTGTTGATATTTACCATTGTGCCCATGTGCATAAGGCAAAGGGAACAACGTGGCAGGGGTTTGCGACAGCTGGGGCAAGACGACAGCTTGTTAGTACTCGTTGATGTACTGCGTGGGCGGGGCTCATCCAGCAGCGCATTGGATACGGATTTACCGCAAAAATTGCAGGCGAGATAAACGGACCGAGAACTGCGCGCTGATGTGCGTATATTTTCAATTTTAATGTCCAGCTCGGCACGCTTCTCCCACAGCCCCCAGCTGTTAAGGCAATCCAAGTAACTGCCGATCAAAAAATAATGATATAATGTATGGCTTAAAAAATTATAGTGCAAAGCTATACCTTGATATCCAGTATTGTATGCGATGATCCATAAAATGGTCGTGTGTGAAGAAATTAATGGCCACCAGTGCGACGGTTTGCACATCAAAACTAGCATCCATATATGCCTGCAGTATTTTAATGCCTCCCAATGATTCACCTGTTAACAGTATCCCATTAAGATCGCCAGTTTCAATGGCTTTATGTATCTGTAGTTTGACATATTCTTCCAGTTTAGTTTCTGAGAGATATTTGCAAGCAAAGGCCATCCGATCTGCCAACGAAACGGCTTCCTCGTTCTGCAATAAGCAATTAAATTGGAAAGAATTACTTATTTATTTAATGTCGTAATATCATACCAGAACTGCCTCAAAATTGTCCTTCTCCATTGTTAGGAAGGAGAATATGGCACGTAAATGTGGATCCTTTATCTGCATGTTAGCACTTGAGCGTTGATTTCGCCAAGTGGAACTGCAGCGATCCGCATTAAAGCTAGATAAAGCAATGGCCGTGATACGATACATGCTGGGATCCCGCATGCTATCCGCAGCCGTAGAGAGAATATTACAGGCATAGAATATCTTTAAATGGAACACACATATCATAGCCGCGCGACTAAACTCCTTGTGCCCGTATAATTCATCAACAAATCGTTCTAGCTCGGGCTCAGTTGACCATCCACATAATTGTAGCGCCAAATCGCGTTGTTCACTCCTGCAAAGTCAGCAATTAGTTAAGCAAATAGCGATTGTGCCTACGACCTACCGATAGCAAATGAGTTTATTTGAATTGTTGATACCATCTGGCCATTGCAGCACCTGAGACTCAATTCGTGGACTGGCCATCAGCGCCTCCGAGGTCTGAGCAATATTAATCCCAAGAGTCGTCTTCAAACCAGTGAGACGATCTTCATGGTAAACATTGCACAAAGTGCTCCACACGTTGCGCAAGTAGGGAGTTAGGTGAAGCTCGCCAAAACGCTTACAGTCTGGTTTCATACCATAATCCTGCAGGGCACGCTCCCGCGTTTCATTTACCAAATCTTCCTCGAACAGCTCCGGCTGTATAAAGTCAAAAGAGAGTGCCGAACCCACCGAACTAAAGTCTAGCGAGCTATTTGTGCTACAACTGCTCGTTGGTTGTGTGGATGATGGGGAGGCCGGAGCATAAAGGGGTCGCTGCATTAGCAGTGGCAGCTTGCGACGATTATTCTTTGCCGTGTGCAAAGTGGCGGGCAGGCGGAAGTCAAGAATATTGACAGCATCGGCCACAATTAGGGCACGCTCGAAATCTCGTGAATGCCACGAGAGCCAATTAACAGATGAACACTTTGCGGCGGTCTGGTATTTTGCAGGAAATGGACTAATCTGTTTCTTCACATGATACACCTCCCGACTTGTATCCATGTCAACACTACGTATGTCATACAGAGTTATATACTGCAACTCCCTTTGCAGTGAGGAGAGCAAACTAGTACGTGTGGGACACCAACTGATCTGCAAATGGTTTCGTGACGATTGTATTTGCCGAAGCGGACGATCGATGGCGCGCAAATCCCACACAATTATCGTAGAGTCTACATAGCTGCACAAATAATTGCCATTGGGTGCCACAGACAAGCCTTGCACCGTCTTAGTTTGTATGGATTGGCAAGTGGCTGTACTTTCTACGGTTAAAATTATACGAAATATTTAATTTTTAGCACATAACTAATTCAGTTTCACTTACGCCTCAAGTCGAAAAGCTTTATCATCTTTTGACTCATGCCCGCTATTAGCGTGCGATGATTTTTGTCCCAGCACAACGAGTTTGCAGACTCTGTCAGTCCAAAGAAATTTGCCGTATCTTTGGGAACGCCACGATCAATATCCCAGATGGTAATACATGAATCGGTACGATGACGGTCATGACCTATGGCCAATATATTCGCGTCCAGCTCATTCCAGGCCAGGCAGGTGCACAAACGTTGTTGCCGGGGGGCTAAAAAAAAGGGATATATACATATCTATCCAAACTATAGATTGTGACTGAACTCACTGTACTCCCAGCTGCAATCATAGGTATCACGAAAATTGCAAATGCCTATTTTCCCATCTGCCAAGCCCACGGCTATAATCGCTTGGTCGCTGTGATAGGAGGCGGCGACAACGCGAGCATATTGATAGCGCGACTCATTGGACAGATAGTTAGCCGGTATGTAGGGCAAGCGACCTACAAGGATAGTCAGTGAATAATATTGATATTTATATAGTATATGTAGAGTAAGCTTACTTTTTTGCAGCCCATCGTCTTTTGTGCGAATCTCGTACAGATTTATCTCCTGGCCCCAAGACACAAATTTATCGGGGACATTTGGAAACCAACTAAGGCCATGTATATTGCCGCTCATGTTGAGCTAGTTTTAGGCTATGCATAGGCAGTTATTAATTTAATTGAAATTTTCACAAATATTTGTAATGCGCCTTTTTGCTAATTGCGTCGCTTCTTATCAGTGCACTGCAAACAATGAGCACACACACACACCAACATTACAAGTGCACCGGCAACCAGCTGTTTTGATAGTGTAGCCACTCTATTTTGATTTTGTGAAGTGGCAGCACCTGAATTTGCACTGCGTAGGCAAAATAGTTTAGTTGCGTCTGTTTTTATTTAAGTTGTAATGTTGCCGAAAACGCCGAAAGCACCTAGTATTTGGAGATTCGTTAAAGGAAGCGCCAAAACACTATTTGTATTGGAGGCTATTGGATTTGCAGCATCATACGGTGTTTATTATCGCATGAACACAAATAGAGGTAAGCGAACAACAATAGCAACAAAATAACGAACACATGGGCACTTCCATTTATATAAGTTGAAGCCATCAGTTTGTCTACAGTAGTTTTTCTCTTATTTTCTGTGGCAGAGTTTCGTCAGTACATCAACGAGAACTATCCGTTTGTGCTCGATTACTACTACAAGATCGGCGAGCTAGTTGGCGATAGCAAAGCACGTCAGGCAGACGCCAACTATTGGAGCAGCACTGCAGTTAAGAGAAGCGAATAGATCTTTGGCATTTCGCCGCCCCCGCCCTAATCTAAATGTTTGCCAATCCGTACATAAAATCAGTTCTCTGGCTACTCTCGTTGGGTGGCGCTGGCTATGGCCTCATGCTGCTGACAGAGCCTAGTCAGGAGAAAATAGAACGCATCAAAGCATCAGTACCGGGTGCATCTCTCACTGCTGACCAAGAGAAGAAGGCGTTATTTATGAAAAAGCTGCAGGAGGCGGCCACAACCAGTACACCAATTTACAGGCAAGCGCCCAATAAAAAAGATGATTAGGGTCATGCTTTATATACCTACATGTTTGTTTAAAAATAATGTCACACAATCTATAATAAAACACGGCTTGTTAAAAAGCTGCATTCGTTGGTAATGCTTTAAGCGTTGGTCAAATGTTTTTCTCTTATTCGCTAATATGCACACACTGGCTGCAGTGTTGTACAGGAGCCATTCTTAGCGAGCGAAAGTTGTACTTGTATTGTGTTTAAAAATTGCCAATTACACCATTAAGGAAAGGAATAAAGCTAAGAATCTCCAAAATGTCGTCTGATAATGTGGCACTTATCACTAGCATGAGTGTGCCCTCAGCGGTAAAGTTTAATGCCAAGAATGAGTTTCAAACCCACACGCAGCAACAGGAGCTTGACAGGGCTTTTTTGGGCTGCGGGCGGCGTCCTTGGATACAGGAGAAGATGAAACGGGACAGCCGCAGGGAGCGTCAAATGCTCACAGCCTTGCTATCCACATCCAACCAGAATGATTCAATCGATTGTGTTGAGAAACTGGTGGCCGAGGACATCAGCTTTCGAGATTTGGCCTCTCTTACGGAAGCAGACCTTGAGATTTTTGGTTTTAAGCATCATAAGCAGCGTCAGGATCTGATCACAAAGTTCAATAAAATGCCCAACCAAGACCCAAGCTATGAATACATTTGCAAATTGCCCGACGCAGCTACCTATAATAATGAAATTATACGAAAAGCAGCCAATCACCTTATGTCCATGCGCTCTTCACTAGCAGCTACCAATTACAAATTGGAAGTGATGCCGCCAGAAGATGTGCTTGTGGGCGATAAGCGCTATGCCAGTCGCTTCGCTCTGGAGGCAATTAACAGTGTGCAATTAATAACCGACGAGCTGTCCAAGGACTTGCGTAAGCTAGAGGATATTACAGCGAGCGGTGCCTCAGAGAAGGTAAATGGTTTCTGGCTTACATCTTTCCGTTTCTAATTGGATATGAATTTCAGAAAAAGAATAGTTTGATATGGACAGTATTTTACTGTACGGCCATTGTTATCGGTACAGTCGCCTGGTTGTTATATTCAAAACCTCGCACAGGCATCCGGAGAATCTCACTTACCACTTAAGATATTCGCTTATATCTACTAAACTTCTTATGTAGTTTTACCATACCTAATTAATTATTGGGTTCCCATTCCATTTTGTATATTTAATATAATTAGAATTAGAAGCATAAGCTGAAAGGTGCACGTATTTTTTACGCCAAGTATAAGCTGAAAGGTACACGTATTTTTTACGCCAAGCATTTAAAATAAATGCACACTCAAATGAATTAACAAAAAGTTGAATACATGTAGTTGAATATGTTATCTATATTATACTTGGAAAAATAAAACAAATGCATTCTTAAATAAATGGGTTATTGAATTATATATTTAGTCAGTCTATTACTTAGTCTTTACCTCCTCTGCAAGTAGCAGAAAACCAAGCTTTACGTAGTCATTAACATGTTCAGGGAATTCCCAAGCAGTTGTGAATGCAATTAGTTCGCTTCTTTGAGTGCAATGGGGTATGTTTTCTAGGATAATAGTGAGCCATGTTCTTAATCAGTTTCAATCAGTTATTCTAATACTAACCCATCACTTGCTGTTTGACGGCCGTCTCCAAATCGTAGCGTTGCAACAGCTCCTGGGCAAATGCCACAAACTGTCGCAGCCGCCAAGATCGATAAAATATGACTTCTGCGGAGGTTCCGGGTAACTTTTGCAGCGCGCGCAGTTGTCGCAATGTCTCTCTGGTATTATTGGCAATATCCACAAAAATGGACGCTATTACAGCTAATTTATCGCAAGGCATTTTCAACTCATCTGGGTAAGAACTCGTATCACTGGCAGTTGCTTCCAAGCAACGTGTCTTCTTTGCTTCTATGGCATAGCAAAGTGTTGAGCCACGTTGCTGGGCAAGCTGCCACTTGGCATAATTATCCTGCAGATTTTTGACAAGGGTTTCTAGTCGTGTTCTGCAAACGGCCAAGTTGGAGTCATCATTTGATTGAGCTCTGGGTGACTGACTGTCCCGAACTAAAACGAATATTGAATATCGATTTTTTGTTGTGCATATAATTTTTAATTACTTACAGTAAACTGGCGTCAAGGAAGTATTTAAGTTTAGACTTCCCGACTTCTGTGGTGTTTTTTTCATAATTTAACATCAAAACAAACGTGCTATCTGAATAGTGTGTGCACATAAGCATTGGCAAAAATCTCAGGTGGCCGTGGATTCAAAAATTATTCAACACTTAAAAAGCATATTTGCCTGTCAAAAAAGTGCCGGTTCATTTCATAGCGGAAAGCCAGACAAAGGAGCAAACAATTTTCGTATAAATTTATTAACTACTATTTACCCAAAATGTCGACCTGGATACCGTTGGAATCAAACCCCGAGGTAAGTATAATTTGTTGGACAACAAATTTTACATGAAAAAGCTTTCGCCATTTTTCAATATTTTTTTGCTAGGCGAATTTCCTCTGTCCCGTTGGAATTTAATAAAGGTCGCCATTTTTTTCTCATTCCAGGTATTAACCAAGTATATACATAAGCTAGGCGTGTCGCCTGCCTGGTCTCTGAGTGACGTCATAGGACTAGATGACGAAATGCTCGAATGGATTCCGCGACCCGCGAAGGCTTTGATTTTACTCTTCCCAATCACCGATACCGTGCGTTATTATTATACATACTTTATATTGCTGCTATTTAAGCAAGTCTAACTTTTGTAGTACGAGAAACACCGCTTGGAGGAGCATGAGCGCATCAAAATGACGGCTGAGACGGAGAAGCACCCGGCCGATCTTTTCTATATGCGTCAAATAACCCACAATGCTTGTGGAACTGTGGCCCTCATACATAGCGTGGCTAATAACAAAGAGTGGGTGGCTAGCATCATCTGAATTTTTGTAAACTATAATATCTACTTTACTAATTCACAGTGTTGATATAGCCAACGGCGTGCTTAAGAATTTTCTAAAGAAAGCCCAAACCCTGTCGCCCGAGGAACGTGGCGAAGCATTGGAGAAGGATGAAGACTTTACGGCCGGACATCAGGAACTGGCTCAGGAGGGTCAAACTAATGCCGACGATCACATGAAGACTATTCATCATTTCATCGCGTTCGTCAACAAAGACGGCCTACTTTACGAATTGGATGGGCGCAAGTCGTTCCCCATCCAACATGGCAAAACCTCTGAAGAGACTTTTATACACGATGCTGCCAAAGTTTGCAAGGAATTTATGGCCCGTGATCCTAATGATATGCGTTTTACCATCATGGTGCTGGCGGCCGCTCAGGATTAGAACGAACGGTCAGAGTCCCACCGATCTAAACAATGATCTCTGATCTGTCATATACGAGTACTACACAATATATATTAATTTAAAAGCGCTTGAAGCCCCGCTTTTAAATATCCTCATAACATAATGCATAAATTAAACACATGTATTGGGAATATTCAGATTTGTTATTAAAGACTAAAATGCTTTGCTGTGCAACTAAATTGATGTTTGAATATTATTTAAAATACGTGGTTTATAGACTTTTTTGTAGCTTTGGGAACTTGAAAAACAAAAGCCTTAATTGCACTTCGAAGTAATTTCTAGTGCTATGATTTTCAAAAAACATTCTATGTCGAGAGTCAATGTTTGTTGACCTAAATAAATAAATGCCTATTAGTCGATTTAAGAACCAAATTAGGAAACCTAAAAAAAGTAAACTTAATATTAATTAATAGATTGGTAATTCACTTTCAAAATAAAAATGGAAAATTGCTATACATTTGGGAAGATTGGACAAACCATAACTAGAAATTTAATGATGATTAATGAAGGAGGATTTATGAGCAAAAGCCTGCTTAGATTGGGAAGCAACAGCGGTTGTAACTCTAGTTTTAGCCACAAAAAACAAATTATTTCAAACAGTTAAGCAGTATTCAAAGGCAGGACAGAATTGAAAGCTAAAGTATTCAATTCTTTGGAACTGCGTTTAATCCTTTCGCCTTGTTTATCATAACAGATGTATTAAGCTTGAATTTCATTGAATTAGAAGGTTCTTAAAGATATTCGACTATCTAAAAACGTTGCAAAAGTAAATTGGCAGTCGTAGAGGTGGCTAATGGAGGATAATAATGTAAATGGGCAGCCCTCCCAAGCTTAGGTCTATAAGTCCCCCTTTTTGGGCACCACCCCTGGCAACAGCTGACTATTGGAGCTTCCGCTGCTCGATCTGCGCATGCTCGGCAATTCGACATGCTCCACGTACACGTTGGGCATACATATATGGAGGGAGTGGGGGTGGCGTTTTCAGCAGCTGTCATGTACACAACTGACGCCAACCAAAGTGGAGCGTCGTCATCATTGTCATCGCCATAGATGTAACCAGTAACCAGTGCGGACCACAGCAATTGTTTATCTAAAGGCTCACCAATTAGAAAACAGACCCTCTAGTGTGCCGGCGCGTGGAGCGTTGAGTGCGCCCCAAATATAAATAGAAACCTCTGACTATCAGCCACATATGTCAGGCCACGGCCACCACTACGTCACAGAAAGTGGTGAGCATGCTGCTGCTCAAGGAGCTGACGCGTTTAACAACGCAGCACCGAACCTTCTACTGCTATATGTTTCTCAGCATATGGATATTTCTGCTCATAGCTGGTAAGCAACAAACGCTTATGAAGGAAATTAGAATGGTATTATCTAAAATTACGTCCTTATTGCAGGCATGTACCGCTATATGGGCAATAGTGAGAATAGCGGCTCCTTGGGCAGCGGCTATGGGCACTCAGGCACTATCAGCTCCGGCAGCGGCAGCTCTGGAGGTGCAAGCTCTGAAGCAGCACACCGCTTCATGAAATATCGGGAGCGTTGCGGGCCGCTGCTGACGCGCATCGAAGATGGTGGCATACTAGAGGGTTGGAAGCTTCAGGGCGTCCTGCTGGTTATTCGGCACGGAGATCGTGGACCAATGTCTCATGTCCGCACAAATGGTGTACACTGTGGCGTGGCTAGCGATAATCTGGTCAACAGGTGAGCGCCGAAGCGTAGCTATGTAACATCCCAGGGAGTTTACCGCGCGTTTCATTAAAATAATCGTTAGTTTTAATACTGGAGAGTTAAGACTAATCTGGACTGAATTTTAGCAGAAAATATCTTGCTATCTAGTTGGTACCCAATTGGAGTTGAAGTTTTTTGCTATGCCATGTAAATATTCTATTTTAAAATTAACTCTTAATTTTCTCTAATTTTTTCAAATGAGCTGGCTAGAGTGGATCCTAAGGAGAGGGTAGTAACCTCCGGGTTCTGGTCTGTTAAGGGTGGATTTTTTCATTAAAATATACAAAAAGTGTTCAATTCTTTTCGTATTTTACACAATATGATTAGAAAAGAACCATCGATCTGTTTTTCCCTTCCCATAAAAACCGATCTCGAACGGTTGTGTCTACGTCTCCCTTGTTCCCTTAACTTTCAGTAACGAAGCTTAAATTTAAAATCACTTTAAGAAACTTAAAGATCTTACTATTGGCTGAATATTGTCCATGTCCATGTCCTTACCTTAACTCTGGCTTACTTTTGCAGATATCGCAGTTTTCTTTACAACTCGAGCAGCTCGGCTTCGGGCTCGAATCATATGTATTGGAACAAAGTGGGTCCATTTCATGGCTTTCCATTGCTGCCAGCTACGGAGCGCGCTTGTCTATTGGGGCAATTGACTTACAAGTGAGTTCTATTCAATTTTCTCCAACTGCAGATTCATTCACCTACGCTCGCCTTTAAGGGGCATCTCTCAGCTTCTGCATGTGGGCGATATAATGCATCAAATCTATGCCCACCCATTGGGTTTGCTGTTGAAATCCAATCCCAATAAGCTGGGGGGCAGCGCGCAGGAATCCACACCGCACACACTCCTCAATTCGGACGAGGTAGTGGTATATACGACCCGATATCGGCGCACCTTCCAATCGGCACTGGCCCTGCTGTTCTCCTTCTTGCCCCCCGACAAATGGCTGTCTGTGAATGTGCGTGAGTCGCACAGCATGGCCTTCTGCTTTAGCGACTGCAGTTGTGCTCAGTCGATGCTGCTGCGAAAGGGCTTGGCGGACATGGGTGATCGGGAGCTGAAGAAGCGTCCGGATGTGCTGGGTGTCATGCAGTGGATCGGTGGTACTTTGCTGCAGCATACACCCAACGGTATTACGAATCCGTTTGAGGTGCTGGATGCCATGCTGACGGTTATCTGCCATGATGCCGCCCTGCCCTGTCGAAAGCAGAAGATACGCGGTAATGATGCTCAGGCAGCAAGCACACACAAGGCTCAGGAACTGGTCGATGTCATCAATATCGATCAGGACGATACGGTGGCTAATTTGATGGATGTTGGAGGTGGGGCTGGAGCAGGCGCAGTGGCTGACGTCGCAGATTCCAGTGAGGGAGATGGAAATGCGGCCTCTGAGCATCCAGGACCCATTGAGGGCTGCGTAGAGGCTCCGCATGTGGAGACCCTCATGTCCTTTGTGGATGTGCTGTCGCAGCGTACGGCAGATCATGCGTTCTACAAGCGAACTGGACTCCTCAAGGCATATGGATTGATTCGTCACATTGTCAGCTATATTCTGAAAATGATCTCCGGGGATCGCACCAAATTTGTCCTTTATTCTGGACATGATACCACTATGCAATACTTGACGGCTGCCTTGGGTATTCATGCGGGCTATACCATACCATATGCCTCCCGATTGGCCTTTGAAGTCTATAGCAGTGAGAGTGAGGCGCATACGGATTACTATTTTCGAGTTGTCTACAACGGCAAGGATGTCACACAACAGATTGATTTTTGTGAGGGAGGGAAAAGTTTACGCGTCACACGCGATAGTCGTGGCAATAAAGCCGATCTCTGTCCCATCGAGAACATCATCAGATTTCTGCACGAGGACTACTTTGCGCCCGTCAATGCCACCAATTTTAAGGATGCCTGCGCCACAGGCACGCCAAAAGCGAATGAGTTCTAACCCAGTTCACTATCTTGCTTTGTTTTCTTTTTCTGCAAACTGTGATAAAATGTAGTTAAGTCAACGGTTGCCTAAATAGGTAACGTAATATCAACTAACCAAACATATCAAAGCGACTTGAAATCGCACACAGGGCACACACATACGAGTATAGTATACATATATAAGAAATGTATGCCTGTGCCTCAATTTACAAACTTAAAAATTTAATATATCTATAGCAGAAATCTAGTGTAATTAAATTCGTCTATCCTAGGCCTGAGACGAAAACGATACATATCGGGGAATGCTACCAATGCATCCCCACACTTAGCTTAAGTTACGAACGAGATCCCTTGCGGAACTCGCAGCGATCATATAACATATAGTACATATCAGCACAAATCCGTGCAAATACCTAACGTTTATGCATATCTTATTTGCGTTTGTTAATAACAAAGTATTCCAGATTTATTGAAATTTGAATAAATGTGCCCAAAATGTAAAAGAAAATTGTTTGAAGAGTTGAAAGAAAGAGGGGCATGGAAATGATGTACACAACTGTTCGCATTTCCCAAATTTAATTTCAGCTCTCATGTGCAACAAAAAAGTCCTTCAGCAGTGGTACGGAAATTAAAGCGAGGAAATCTTTTATTTTGTGCGAGTCGGAAAAGTAAGTCCATGTGATTTCGACAAATTTGATCAAAATCGAAAACGTGGAGGGGCTCTGATAATATTTTGAATGTTACATATGTATGTTTTTTTTTAAATTGTCAATTCTTCAATATGTGTTAAAATGATATTTGTTGCAAAAATTAAGTTGAAACTTCGGAAACACCGCGCAAATCGAAAAGGATAAAAACAACAAAATTTATACAAATACGAAAAAAAATATATGCAATAAATGAAATTGCAGATTTGTATGTATATGAAAGGGTATTGCCATTATCTGAAAGTAAACTGGTGGTTATGATAAAAGCAACAAACACAAAAAATAAATACTTGTTGTTAAGCTATCGACAGCTGTATGTATTAATAACTTAATGGCCCAGAATATTTTTTATTTGTTTACTGTTTGTTATATTCCATTTAAACTCGCTTTGGTTGACATTTAACATTTTTTTTTTTAATTAATAAAATGTTAGCTTTAATGGAATATTTTTTATTCGAATTAGCCATCAAACAAATTCTCGAAGCGTTTTGGCATTTCGTGATTACAAACGCCTAAGTCCCCTCGACATGGCATCCACTGTCGTCGAGAGCTGGCGAACAACTGACTCTGGCGATACAAAAATGCATTTGCAATTTTTGCAGTATGTGTGCTTGTGTTTGTTTCTTTGTGTGTGTGTGTATGTGTGTTTGGGGAGGCCGGCAAAGCTCACATTGAGAAAGCGCATCTGGCCGATGGCATCGGGGGGCCTAAATGATAATGCCGATGAGAGCACAACCCAGGCAAAAAACAACAACAACAATACAGTAAGGAAAGAAAGAAAAAAAAGAGAATATGTCTGTCAGCGGCGGCAAATGGAGCCATTATTATCTGTTAGTCTGGTAGAGGTTGGGGAGTGGGGGAATAAGTAACGCAATACAAAAACAAACACACACACACACATCTACCACAGCACTCGCGCGCGCACACAGACACAGACGCGCAAACAGTCATACTCACTGACGACAGAAAGAGGCAAGTAAGTAATGAGTGTGTAATGTAAATTCGTCGCTCTGTTAAATTCTGAGACCCTGGACGCATTCAGTACATGTTGTTACTTTTGTGCACGCAGTTCGACAAAACGGGCAACTGTGGTGTGGCCGTAAAAAAAGCAATCAGAGTCAGCCCCTCCGCCTGGCGTAAAAAACGAGAGAAAAAATGCTTTGTACACCCACCCAACTTGGCATGGACCGGAATTTGTTTCCGGGGTTACAGCTTGACTTTCAGTGTTTTTTACTGTAACATACTCCACTCCGCCCTTGCCAAATTACAGATGCCACCACCACCACCACCACCACCACCGAAAAAAAGCTTTGTACACCCCCCAACTGAGCATGGACCGGGAATTGTTTTTGGTCTTACAGGGTTTTTTTTTTCGATGTAATATACACTCTGCGCCCACGCCGCCCCCCGCCAAATTACAGATTCTTCTCCACCCACATTTTCTCATCAATATCTACGGAACACTTGGAACATTTGACGCAATTTTACTTATCTGGTGCCCTTAGTGTTGTAAATGGTGCACGGGCCCGGCAACGTAATGCCGCAAGCCCCGGGGGCAATTGGAGATTGCTTGATGCAATTGCACAATTTGAAATTGTGTTACATTGGGAAAAGGAGCGCAGATTTGGTAGACAGCGTTGCATTTTGCGAAAACAAAATGTGAAACCCTGAAACATTCAACAACAACAAGAGAGAATGATGCGGCCGAGTAAGGCCGACAGTGAAATACTCTTTATCCAAAAAGCACTTCCATTGCTAAGTAAGATACATTGATTTAGCATAGCAGAAGTACAATTTATGGCAATTTATGTGTAAGTCCTTTTTTTAGGGATTATAAAACAGTGGGGAAATATAAAGTTTCAAAAATCCATGCGATTATCATTGTTGACGGACGTACAGGCTAACCGTTGGATATGTCATGCCGATTGAGAATATGTACTTTATGGAGTCGAAAATTATTACTTCTGTCTATTACATACATTTGAATAAACCTTAAATACTCTTTATAGCCTTCGGGTACAGGGTATACGCAAGTTAGCTTATGATTGTATGATACAAGCTCAGGCTTGTATCTGTGTGCGTTGGTTCGCGGTGCCTGGATTGGAGGGGTAGAGCAGGTGCTCCAGGCGATTTGGGGTTGTTGCTCCCGCAGTGGCTGAGATTTGCAGTCAATGCCTTAATAAATCTCTATAGGCTAGCGTCTCTGTGTGTTTGTGTGTGTGTGTTTTTGTGCGTTTCAACCAATACCAGCTAATGTACATACACATATATTGCGGTGTAGCTTTGGAGGGGAGCACATGCTCATCATGCGGGGTCAAATGCACTTGTTAGAATGAAGTGCATTCTTAATATAGCTCTATCTCTTTTTAACTGCAGCGCACAAGTTTTACCAAACGTACAGTGAACCAAAAATGACATAAACTTGAAGTATAATTTATGATAAAGTTTTATTCAATTTATATTGTAGCAAATGATAAATTGAATATTATGAATGATTGAATATATTTTTAGCACACCTTGTACATGTATTGAATATATTTATATATTTATGTCAACAAACATATGACTGTCGACATAGGAGGAAAATATATAAAAATTATAAAAAGCATCTTATAAGCTAGAAAAGCCTAAGAAGGATAATTCTAATCAAATTACAATAATATCTAATTAACGCCTCCAACCCGGTGGGCGAATATTATTTGCCTTTCGGGTAGCTGTGCCCCGTCTTACAGCCAAGTGTGGTCAGAGGCGTCAATAGATCTACCGATATAAAAAAAGAAAAACTTAACAGAGAAGAAGCTAAGAATTACTTAAAAGTTAATTTTTAAAAAATTATATTAACATAAAGAATTTTATTAAATTTATTTTATACAACGTTTTTTGCTAGAATAAAAAGTCAACGTTATTAGGTTGTTTTAAATGTCCATTGCAAAATATAAATTACAAATTTTATAAATGTTTATTTTATTTATATAAACAAAGCCTCTTTGATGAGAGAAAAGGTAAGTTGCATTCCTAATACAAATCTCTACCGTGGTATCTATTATTTATTAACTGTGCACATGTACTTGCCTCACTGTTAACGGCCCACAAGATCAATTGCACTGTATGCAATCTGCTCTCTCTCTCTCTCGTCGGACAACAACTAAATAAAAAAAGCAGCAGTGCACATACACACACAAACGCACAACATCGAATGCACTCGTTCCCCAATTGCTAGGCGTTGGAGCAACTGAAACAAAAAACAACGATGAACAACGACGAGTGCAGCAACAGCGTAATATGTGGATGCACCGGAAAGGGGGGCTGTTGGGGAAGCCAATGCAAAAAGAAACGACATTGTCGTTGCCGGTGTGTTTGCATTGGTGTGAGTGTGTGTTACAAAACTCGAGCTGCTGGCAAATGCTGCGGCTCTGTTACAAAATATTGACGAAGAAAAATCATACAACGTTTTTTTAAAACTTTTTTCAACCATTTTTCATGGGAACGTGTGCGTGTGTGTATGTGTATATCTCAATGCATGCGCTTGTGTGTGTGTGTGTGTGTGAACGCTGAGATTGGAGCTGAGTTGCATAAGCGAAGCTTTGTTGTTGGTAGAGCGCTTACCTGTGCAATCAACACACACAGCTGGTAATAATAGTGGGGCCTAGACCTCTGCCCCTACTTCATCATCTATTGCTGTTGGTTTTTCTATTTTGGGGAAAACTGTAGTCTATACAGGATTTTCACAATGTCTGCACAGCTGTATTTCTCTATGAAGGCGGCGCACCGTAGGTGACGTTAGTGTAGACGTCGACGTCTCTGCCATCATCTAACATTATCAGCAGCACAAGAGTTTTCCAAGCCGTCAAACTAGGCTCGACTGCATTCAATGGGCGCCTGCATAGAGCAGGCTGGTGGGCCTAACTACATACATATGTATGAATGGTGTTGGTAGGGGGGAGTGCAGTGATGTGCAGGCCCCACTCAATGGAGATGCACTTTTCAAATGTGTGCAGCAGCTAGTGCTGCAATTTTCCAAATAAACTCGATGGAGGAGCACCGTGCTCTTATGTGTGTACGTACATACATACACACATACATATGTCAGTGTCTAGGCGCAATTACACTCATACATACGGATATATGTACATACATACATACATCTACAAATGTAATTACATACATATGCATTATGCAGTTTATTGCAGGCTGCTAGTACAAGCACATAGAAGAAATTGCAACTATAATTGCGCGGCTAAAGCGCTTGTAATGTAAGTCAAGCGGAAGAGAGCAACACAATCTGTGGCTGGGACCATCGTGTTGGTGAAGGGGGAAGGTGTTAAGACGGGCGCTGGCACTGTGGGCCGAAGCAGACAAGGGCATAGCTGTATAAGTCTATTTGTAGTTAATGCACTATCGAGGAGAGAACGAAATGGCAAGAATATAAACAGCCAATCAGCTGTTAACACTAGGCAACAAAACAAGCGCAATGGGAAACTTTGTTGAGCTTTTGGTAACTAAATTGTATCAAGTATGCCTAAAAGTGTATCTTTATTTCCAAACCCCATTCTTGTTTTCTTTTTATTTTGGTTTATATAATTCACCACTAGCGAAAAATAGATATAAGTATGTACAAACAAGATTTACTTTGCCTTTTATGAGTATTATTTAAAATTATAATTAGCGTGCTAAAAAATATTTTTAAAAATGTATGCCTAAAGCTAAGTGGTTGATTTAATAATAATTAACACGGTGACAGATAAAATATAATAAATATATGTAAATAAATAGGTATTATGGGCATTGAACAACTTTTGCT